TAATAGTTGAAGTGTTTGTTGTATTTGAAGTGAAATAAAGTTAAGTTTGATTATTGTTCGCTGTAGTCAATTATTGGTCAACCCACGGTGAAAAACGTAAGAATATATTCACAAACTAATTTTCGATTTCAATAATTGAACTCATGATGAAATTTTTCTCAAAATAGTACTTGATATCATTTGAAATTTTGAAGTAAGGTTTCTTGATGGTTTATTTCGGTTTTGATATAATCGGGAATGAGACTTTCATATGAACATAGTCTATACCGCTACCCCTTGGATTAACGATAAAAAAACATCATAATACGTCCAAATTTTGGCAATTCCATATTTTTGGGTGATATTTCCTTCAATAGCCTCGTTATAATCTCTATAGATTATTTGCATGACTTGATTATTATGTAATGACAGACTATCAGTCTCTTGGTTGGTTGGAAAATCATATTATCAATGTGTAATATCTGGCCACAAATGAAATTACAGTTTATGTGTCTTTCTACTCATCCACTTGTCCATCAAGGTTATTCTGAGAACTGGTTATGCAAGTTTTCCAACGAAAAATCAATGTTATTATGCAGGCTCCGTACATGCCATTGATATCGGGAACTCACATTTCTTAAACAAACAATTCCATTTATTTCACCAAGAATATGGTCAAATTATCACTACATTATCTTTTAGAAATGCTTATCACTGTCACTCACAGTTTTCTCATTGGAATAACCGATTGCAATATTTTTTTCTCTATAGGAAGAGAACGAATGTTCAGATATCAATATTCGGATTGTTTACTAGTTTCAAAATCGTTACTTTCCAGTTGTTTCTGGTACTTGGGAGTCGTCTGACTTGTCCATTTCTTTCAAGTTTCTGCAGCTTAATGGGCTCATTGTGTTTTTCCTCCCAACTTTTCATGACACCCACTATTCCTTAGATTGTTCTAGACATAATCAAGGTGGTCTCTGACTCGTTTTGCCCTACTATCAGCCAAAGTCTTTGTTTACAGCTTGGTACATACACTGTCCAGTGAGATTCCATAATCTGATAAAATAGTTCATTAGTTCTTTTCACAGTTGCTTGTTCTCGTTATTCCCAAACAAACAAGTCTTTATTCTCCGCCTAGTATATTAATAGCAGTTGCTTTTGATTCACATTTGGTCACCAAACCAAAGAACTACATATTATCATGGATTTAACCATCGCTGATTACAGCCAATACATCTTGCTGGATGCGACTCCTCAACATATTGATATGTAAGTCGCCCTATTCAAATATTAATAATAGAAGTTTATCAGCCACGCAAGGCTATGTCTCTATGATATAATAACATAAATGTACAGGAGAAAATTATTACAAGTATTATAAAGTTCTGCATATCCAGCTGATATTTCCTAGGATCATTTCATTAATTCATGAAAAATGGAAAGCAAATATATTTGTAACCACAACATTTCTTCTTGTAAGTTATTGAATCCATCTGACGAAGTTTGCAATCATCTGAGTTCGAATAATCTGTTTCATTTTCTACTAATCTGGAACCTCCTCTTTTTTAACCAGTAATAAATTGAAAACTAGTTAGATGGTGGATCATGGTACTGGATTTTTTCATGACAGTTTGTCACATCTCAACAACATGGGAACAATACGAGCATATCAATGTTTTTTACAAAAGAAAGAACATTACTTAAGATTGAATTGAAAGGGATATATTTTTTGAAGAGGTTAATTTTTGGGTACTGAAGAGCTGATAAGGCAAGTGCCTTACGGATGTCTACCACTGAGGATGAGAGTGTTCAATGTAAGTGACATTTTACCGATTTCATTTACTTCATTGTGTAGGAATCCTCTGAATGATATCTTATTCTATTCCATAGCGAATGTTTGGAATACAAACTGAAGAGAAATGTGTGTGTTTTTTGGTATAATTCAGTGTTCATATAAAAGTATTTGTTTCGAATGTATTTTTCTTTCGTGTAATTCAATGTTTATATGAAAGTAGCTGTTTCGAGAAGGTTTTTTCTTCTAGTTTGTATCTGAAAGTTACTTCTTCGCATGATAAAACTTAAATATTTGTATATGTGTATTTATTTTTCATCTTAGCATTTGGTTTTTCTTCTACTTTTATTATTTAACTATCTAGGGATTTATTTCTATACAACTTTTTAACCTAAAGTAGAAATTTCAAGATGTGCTTATCAAAACTATGTGTTAGAATCAATTTGTAGGTTGAGTGGAAGAGCGCTGCTTCTCAACTCCTGCTGAGAAAGCACGAACTCTGCCTTTTGTCAGACATGTATATTTTGTTTTTTTTCTTTTTCACTTTATCATATGTTTATGTATTTATATGTATATGTTTGTGGTTTTCTGGCAATAAAATCGATTATTATTATCATCTACACATTTTTGTATAGAATTACTTTTTTGAAATACATTGCTTCCCTCCTTTCTTTGGAAAATTCCTACATGTTTCTGTATCAAGATGGAGAAGTAGAAAGCCAAAACCTTTCTTTCCCAAATCATTCAAGATGTCAAAGATTCATTCCAATTTCACAGCTATTATCCATACAAGAGACTTGAACGTATTGGCCAACCAGCATTCCAACATATTGAATACAAGCCGTATGTGGTCTGTCAATTTGATTTTATCTTTTAGCCCGTGTATACACCACTCATGCATCTGTATCGGAAAGATGATGTTCCATCTATATGTGGTCATCTAGAAATATCATCAAACAGAGAAATTGCGGAAAAAGTGAAGAATTTGGGCATATCTTAGAAGGTTTCATTTGGAAAATTTTATATGTAGGTACTGTCCCGTGGGTTGGGCTACCTATCAGGCGCGTCTCCAGGTAGGGGAACGGCCAGCGTACTGGAGGCCCTGTCCGGGAAGCAAATGTGGCCTTACAGTCAGGGTCGCCGGACTCCTGGTCAGTGGCAGAAATAAGTAGGGTGAGGGAAACTAAAACTCCCCAAAAGCCTTTGCAAAACATGCCAACGTGGACCAGCCTACCCAAGCTAAGGTGTAAGGAATCGTGCCGACAGCTGAATGGCCGCAAGGTGATATGCGGTTACGAACGATCCCCTTGGGGAACTGGGCAAAACCTTATTGTAATCATCCTACCTCTGGTAATGCGGAGCTCTGCCAGAGGTGACCAACTCTTCCCTTGCTACTCGTGGGAACACACGTGAATAAAACAAACACAAAACTAGAAACAACAAAAACAAAAACCAATCCCGAGGCTGGACAGAAGTGCTCACCTCAATCTAAGGCGGTGGCTGGGGATGAACAGAAATGTCCACCCCAATCTACCGCTTGCAATGAGGCTGGACATAGCAGATCACCTCGTGATACAATACAATGGACAGGGCGTAAGCAGATTTGCGGGCCGAGACCAAAAGGAGGAAGAGAGCGAAATAGGCAGGAGTGGCAGCAACTATAAGTGCACCCTCCTTCCAAACCCTCCTTCCAAAACCTCCGCGGAGGCCACCGTGAGACACCTCAAGGTTGCCAAAGAGAGTGAGTGTTCTGGGAGTCTTGGCCTACACCTGCCTATATATAGGAGATGTCTCCTAGTGACCTGTCCACCTTATTGGAAAGGACAGGATGGACGATGACCTAGGAGAAAAACTCCTCGGGAGGATGTTCAATGGTTCACATGTTGCCTAAGTCCTGTGGGTCTACACTCATCCTCCCTACTCTACAGATACATATAAAGTTGTAGGTACTATACGTAATATAAAATATAGAATTTCTACTGTGGATCACCCACAATGAATTCATCATAATCATTAGAAAATGATTCACGAGTGCCTTGGTCGTGCTATCATAACAAAAATATTTGGAAAAATACAAAACCAGTTATATTCTAGTCATACCAACTATAAACCGAAACACATATCGTATTTATCATTCACTGTTCAGTTACAGGTATCCAAATCGTTCCTGCTGCGTTTAAGTAGTGGATTATTTATTAAAATTTGTTTTTTAATACTTCCATTTGGTCTTTAATAGTTAATAACTGGATGCGGTTTCCGCATTTCTTTAAATTGCTTGATTGTTATTTCATTTTTGAAGGAACATGCAATAAATTACTGGATTGTGCAAATACATACATTTTCAGCTTGAAAATTACCCAGGAAATTATTTTCTCTAATAACTCTATTACCTCAAATTCTATATATTTACGAGTAGAATTATTTTGTGTGCCGCTTTATATGTGCGTACAAAAAACTCTTGAACATTTATATACGTGTATGAAATATAAATTACTCTGTTACAGGATAATTGACGATCCTATGTAAATACACTGAAGCAGTCATAATTTGAAAACAATCAGACCATCCAGCAATCATTTGTTGTAAATTCTCCTGTTTATTAAAATCGTTGTGATGGTTTTTGTTTTCTTCAAGTGATTAATCTTCAAGAAAGGCCTTGAAAGGGTAGGAACTCAATTCAACCGTTTATAGCCGTTTTTCAAGCAGTTAGCGAATCCAATATTGTTTGATGAAAAGACCATAATTGCAATGCTCTTCTCGACGCGCGTTTGCTCAATCAAGTTTGCGTCTTCAGGACATGAAGACTAGTGTTATCCAAAACGATGCTGATGAGGTGATAATTCAAGTGTCTTTTCCCAAAAATTCGGAGTAAACCATTGATACTGATACTGTAACAGTGAATGATCAAAGATGCTGTTTCCCACATCCTGAGATATTAAGAAAACATCATGTATAAACCCTCAACCTCCAGAGATGAACAGTTTGATTAGGCTTCTTAAAGAAGGCAATCCCACCAGACCAGTAGTCCAACCGGTAAGTCTTCATTAGAAAAAACCATAATGTCATAAGACTCAAGGACAAGAGATCTTTTAAATGGAACATACTGTATGCAGCTCTCCCAAGGTATTTGTTGTCGGTATCAAATTTGGCGCTCTGTAACTCTCTCATTACAGCAATTAATGATTAGTCAGTTCAAATATTTGTGATTAAGTTGTGTTTGAATTGGGTGGCATATAAAACAGTATCGTATTCATAATGAGTTCTAGTGCAGTGCTCTGGCGGATACTACCATTAAACATGTTTTCTCTTAGCGGTAATGTGCTTTTTATATGCGGTAAGTGATGAAAGTGAAAATGAAATCAATGTAGTGGAAGTTTCGTCTCAGCCAGAAATTTTTGTATGGAAAAGAATAGTTTTAGATTGGGTTTCGATAAATTTTTTCACAGAAAAAGTTAAAACAGTGTTTATGAAAATCTATCACAGTTTAACGAGCAACTTTGAATGGTACATATCCCATATTGTTGAATTGATTCTTAATCTATTCGGGGAGTAGCAATTTTCATTATTTGTTGCTAATATTCTGCATATAAAGTTTTTTGTTTGTCTTGCAAAACCAAGATACAACCTCAAAACATTGAGGAAACAAATACATGATTTCCTGTAACATAAATTTATGAATCATCGTGTGTACCTACAATATCTGACGTCATCAACTTATTATACTCGTACACCAGATTCTCAACGAAGGTTTTACTAATTAACTTGGTGTCATTAAGATAGTTTTTGGGAGAGAAAGAGTTTGGCTTTCTACTTCTCCATCTTTATACAAAAAAAATGGGTTCCAAAAAAAAGAAAAAAGCAATCAATTTCTGAAAATTAACTCTATACAAAGATGTGTAGATCTTGCAAAGAAGTAACTTTCAGACACAAACTGAAAGAAAAAGCCCTCTCGAGACATGATATGAACAACTACTTTCATATAAACATTAAATCACACGAATAAAAATACTTTCGAAAAAAATATTTTTATATGAACACTGAGTTATACAAAAAACACTTTAATCTATTCGGTTTGTATTTCAAACATTCGTTATGGAATTGAATCAGATATCATCCTTGGGACTGCTACACAATATAGTAAATGAAAGAGGTAACATTTCACTTACATGGAACATTGTTATCCTCACTGGTGGACATCTGATATTCCAGAATAAGACACTTGCCTTATTGCCTCTCCAGCACCAAACTGGATGACATTTAAAGATGATGCACTCAATTCATTCATGAAATTACGAATTCATGTCACGAATGAGTTGAATCTACTCATGCCATTGATGGCAGTACTTAATGACATTCATTCGCTTATTTGATTAAATCCCAGCAATGGAAATCTTGTTCAAATTGAAAAGGGTATCTTTTCAGTAAAGATTAATTCTTGGGAAAGGTTTTGACTTTCTACTTCTCCTTTTTTATACAAAAAAATGTGAGAATCTGGTAACGGCAATGAAAAATATATCCAATACTACAAACAAAAATCTACAACCAACTAGACAAGTATAATTACAAGCCAAGTATAATTACAACACTCACTTAATAAATAAGTCAAAAAATAAAACAAATGCAACTTAGCAACTTGGAAAATAGTTAAACCAACTACAAATAAATACCCTTCTTCAACAACGAATATAACACTTGAAATAAATGATGATTTGACCAATGACTCAGAAATAGTTTCTAATCAATTTAAACACTATTTTGAAAATATTCCACGCCTTTTAATCAACAGAACAAACAAACTCATTCAAAAAACGCTGAAAATAGGTATTCCAAAACATTCTTCTTTATTCCAGCAACTGAATCAGAAATCTTAAACATTATCCTAAATCTAAAGAGCTCCCACTCACAGGGAGATGATCATATAACAACATATCTAATAAAAAAGTGTGCAAATCTGTTAACGCAACCGTTAACGTCGGTCGGTCGGTAGCCAAGCGGTTCGGCGTGGGTGCTTTGTTCACTCACTCGAATTGACTGCCGTGTTGGTCGGTGGTTCAAGCCCTAGTCTGAACGATCGATCTTCACTTGCTATCGTCCAACCCGTGTTAGGAATCACACGTTAAAAGGTAAGACCTCGTTAATCCCTAGCTCGCACAAGTTTCGACTTCTGAGGGTTGTCGTTCGTAGGGGTGCAACAGCTGGTTAACGGAAAAACAGATTTTGAACAGATTTTTTTTGAACAGATCTATTGAATTGTTCTCTTGAAGAAGGTATTTTTCCATTATGCCTCAAAATGGCAAAAATCATTCCGATTCACAAATCGGGAAGAATCACAGATGTTCAAAATTTCAGACCAATTGCGCTATTGAGTCCCTTTCCTAAGGTTTTTGAAAAATATGTTGCCAATGGAATAACAGAATTCATGAATAGATTTGATTCAATGAACTCGAATCAATATGGGTTCCAAAAAGGCAAATCAACCTCCAGTGCAATGATGACGCTTGTAAAAAGACTTTAGGAGGAGTTAGACAAGGTAACAAAGTGGTTTGCACCTTTTTGGATCCAAGCAAGGCATTTGATCTTGTCAACCATGAAATTCTGTAAACTTTAAACTAGAACTGTACGGTTCCATAGGATTGGTACATGATTGGCTAAGAAGTTATCTGAAAAACAGGATGCAGTATATTCAAACAATCACACTTCGTTGAAAACTATAAACGATGTAGGGTTTCCCCTGTTATATCTGATATACGTGAATGACATTTCTAATGAAAGTTGTATAATGTATGCAGACGACACCTACCTCATAGCTTCAGGGAGCAATGTAGAGCAAAGTCTTGAAGTCCAATGAAGAAATCAAAATATCTGAGGAATGGTTCTCTTCAAATGGATTAGTTTTGAACATGGAGAAGACAACGTTCATTAGATTCAGTCACTCAAATAATAAATTCGACCACAGATTGTTGCTAAAATCTAACGGCAGATCTATTACTCAAGCACCTTCTACGAAGTTCCTTGGGCTGCATGTGAATGAATGTTGTACATGGACTACCCATCTAAATGAAGTGTGCAAAAAACTTGCTCCCAAGTGTTATCCCATGTACCAACTCAGGAAGACCGTCGAAAAATCTGTATTGATGGTGATATATTTTGCACACTTTCAGTCGGTAATGACATATGAAATCATAGTATGGGGAGTATCACAGGAGGACGATAGGGTACTCAAACTCCAGAAAAGAGCAGTTAGAGTGGCCAGGAGTGTGAGCTGTAAGGATATATTTGTACAGCTGAAAATCCTGACTATGCCAAAACAGAGCTAGCCTCATCCAGAGCGCTGGGAAACAGTAGATATCACACAAGAAATGCAGCAATCCTAAAAGTGCCAAATCACCGTCTCCAAAAAACAGAGCGTTGCCCAAATTAATCATCTATCAAACTGCTACAAAGATGTTCCTTTGAATAAATTCAAAATAGTAGTCAAAAATATCTTATTAAAAAAAGCGTCCTACTCTATAAGTGAGTATTTGGGAGACACATATTTTAGCAGATTTTATATTTTATGTATGTATGCATATTTTCATATTCTATATTATATCAAACCATTTGTTTTTATTACTTTTAGATGTAATATGTTCATACGTTAAGTCTCTTATTTGTATAATCGAAAATTCGCGTGGACAAACTGTTCCTGACACATGACTTGTTCTGTATTATGTAAGAAATAGTAATAAGAACCAAATACAAATAATTAACCACCAATACCACCGATATTATATTGAATCCTTTTACATGCTCTCTTGCACTTAGTTATAACAATAACTATATTAATTATATTCCCTACAATTTGTGTAAAATGTTTTTAATATTACTTTATCTTATAAATATTTCTTTTCAAACTTACACTGTACTATACTGACTCGGTCTATATTATGTTAGACATAATCTAAAGAACTAATGAACTATTTTTTACCGAAGTATGCGCTGCTCAGGCCCTATCCTCCGAAGCCCCGATACATTCGGGAGGGCGCGCCAGCATTATCAATCAACGACCACTACCCACACCGTGGGTAGTGATCATTGTGATCATTGGGTCCGAGAATCATGTACCTTGAGCAAGCGCAGTGAGCCAAGAATGACAGCCTTCTGCATCTGTTCGGCTGAGATTTCTGCCTTAGTGCGGCAAGCCGGTATGATTTCAAGATTCGAGAGTAGTGAGGGCAGCATTCCACCAAGGATTCCAATAATCAGACCAACCATCTTATCAGAGTGATCTGGATAGAGTTTGCGGAGTTCGAAGAGAAAATCCCGATATTTTATCCGTTTCTTCTTCTCTTTTCGGACGATATTAGTCTCGCCAGAAGCTGAAAACTTCACGACAAATATCGTCTTGCTCTGGTGGTCGAGAAGGACTACATCAGGCTTATTAGCTTGTATAAGCTTGAGGATGGGAAAGGATTAGTTCCAATAAATTCGGCACTTCTCGTTCCACACAACCGATTCAATATCCCCCGGAGCGTAGGGCAACACCGGTGTCTTGTCAATACCGTAAGAGTGCCGTAGATGGTAATTCAGCACTCCAAGGGCCGCGGTATGTCGATGGATATAGGCCGAGACCACATATGCTGGACATGCTGATAGTAAGTGCATTAGAGTCTCGAGCGCCTTGCACAAGGCCCTGTATCTTGTGTCAGGAACCTCTATACCCATCACGCGACTGCGGTAGACTATGGTGTTGAAGACACCATGCTGGCAAGCCATGATGAACTCCTCAGTTTCCTACTTCAGCCCACTTGACCGAGGAAAGCAAAAGTCAGACGTTTTGATAAGCCAAAGTCTATTATTATCATTATTATTATAAGTTTTCTTTGATTTTGGACAACGGAACTTATGTCATAGAACTTTTCGGTTATCTTCTTTTTAGGTTTTTCATTTCCGATTTTTCTCGAAAATTACAGAATTACAAAGCATCTCTCAATGGCAACTTTTTCATCTCAGTACATAGGGTACCCATATGATACAGTTCAAAAATTGAGGCAAAAACCAAAGATAATATGAAAAATCAAACAATGTGTCACATATAAAACAATTCTACTTTATCTACTCATTTATCTTTACTCTTCAACGAATGCCACATCATGTTTGTCAAAACATTCAGCTACTAATTAATTAAGATGGATGATGACCAAGTATTCTGAGCTGAGCTGCTTATTCAGTTTCTCAAAGTTTCACTGCGTGTCTTACTTCATTATGATTTTCATATTATTTTGATATTCGACTTTTCATTGAGTTTCATTACCGTTTGAAATGTTCTCATCAAAGAATTCCTTCCTTTGGTGAGGTCTGATCCAATTAGGACTTAATGAAAAATATCCAACTTGACAACTCTTTTTTGTCGTAAATATATCAATACTGGGATTCATTTGCTTCAGTATCTTTCACACAAATTATTTTTTTCTTTATTTACAGGTTTCGGAATCTTTTCTTGATATTTGTTCCACGAATCTGATACAGTACGTCATTGAAAAGTTGATGGTGTATCTGAATCACCTGATACATTAATAGCAGCGAATTTACAACAGTTACCTGAATCAATATCGTTGGGTTTTCATAATTTCATGTGATTTTTCTCTTAAAATTTTCGCAGCCAGTTTTATGAAATGATATAATGAGTTTTAGTGATGATTATTTTTGCCAAAACTTCGAAATGTTTTGCTAGAAACCAGTCAATATCATCAGATGACTCTACTCCTAATGGAGCTAATTTATTTAGCGAAACGCACGTCAAGAGATAGAATTTTTGTTCTAGTGTAAAAAACGTGTTTTCAATAAATATACTCGTTTTGAAAAAACAAAAGAGTAGATACCCCATCAACTTGCATTCATTCCCAATACTTTGAAAGTACATCTACGTGGAATCTCTGTTCAAATATTGCGAAAAACTAATATTCTTTAGACAATGCCCTAAAACAATATATTCTCTTGGAGTTGAGCCAGTGCACAATGTACACAACAATGAAATTATAATTAATTTAAGTATAGTTATAATTTACGATTCTTCATTTGAGAGCAATAAAGAAATAATCTTTATTACTTCTATGAACTAATAAAGATGTAACACTATTTTAGTCTGTTTTTCTTAGTCTGACCCAGTTTTTCAAGGAACATTTTTGCAAACCATATGGTTTGAATCCTAAATTCTATTCATCTGATGTATAATTCAGATAGTTGCAGCTCTGAGTGGCCTGCCTATTTGAAAAGGGTTTTAATTGTCAATTTGTTGGCAATTTGTTTAAATCCGACCAGACCTAACCTAACCTCAACTGATTAAGAAAGAATTATAACTCGCAAATATCAGATTCACATCATTGATTTGCGAATTGGAAAATTCATTGTGTAGATTGTACGTCGATATTGTTGATTGACGTTAAAAATTAATTTCCCTCAAATGTGTTCTTCGGTTCAAAACTAATATCTTACAGAGTTTCAATTTTATTTGAGAATCAGTTCGATAGAAAATGAAAATATGGTTTTCAAATTTTGAATTTGACTATTAATTTTTTCATGAGCTACTACTATATATATAATGAGAAACTGTGATAACGGTAGTGTACGAGTAGACTAGTTCCACAAACATATATACGAGGTCTGATAAAAGAATAAGGTGAATGTTCAAATTTCGCAGACGTACATTCGATTAACGGCTTTTTTATATGTGGGTACACTCACTTGGAAGTGTTTTGCTTGATCGGCAATTTTCTGCTATCGAAAAAAAGGATCAAAGAATTTGCATCAAACTTTGTGTAAAAATGGAATAACATGCTCAACAACACTTGAAATGTTGACAGTGACATACGGTGATTGTACTCTGGGTCAGAAAAATATTTACAATTGGTACAAACTCTTCACAGAAGTTACTGAGGATGTCGGCATATGTCATACAATTTTTTGTAAATTTTGGGCATGAAGCGTGTGGCAGCGAAGTTTGTTCAAGAATGGGGAATGTTCCTCCTGACGAAAATCAAGTGGTTTTCATAAAAGAGATCTGAAACAACGCATTTTAAACTTATCATTTCAACCTGTTTCTTTAAAAAATTATTTAAATAATTAAAAAAGAGGAAGGGATTAAAGGGATTCGTTTCTATTTTACCGTTTGGCAACATCGGTTATAACCAATAAAGGGCAATGAATCTGTTACCTGTATGAGACAAACAAAGATGACATATTTCTGAGGCGTGCTGTTCTGTTTACTTATGTTCCGAATTCTGAGACATTCTGTGACATATGACATTTTGTGCACCTAACCTATCTTCCTCTATATAAATAAATAACAAAACAACTGTTGTTCATGTGGCTTGTGGAGGTGGTATTGAACTATAATTTATATTTTGCCTTAATTGTTGATTTATAAAGATAATTTTTTCTTTTCTCAAGTAGAATAACTAGGTACATATAAATTATTTCAACTTGATATAGGCGCTGTTGCCAATATGTGAATTAGAAACAAATCCCTTCAAAAATCAAAACCCAACATTTGAAACATCAATTTGAATACTTTTCGAAGTGAATTTGAAAAACTCATGAATTAAACTCAACTTCATTTTGTTCAAACTTGCATTTGCTGTAATAACCCGAATTGAGGATCATTCCCCATTGCTGAATTTTTACCAAAAAAACATCTCATAGGCATCGCCCAGGAATTGTTGACGTCAACAGAAATCCAAGGGTGATAACTGGTAATGATTCATGGATATATGGTTATGAATTCGAAGACAAAATCCAATTGTTCCTTTGGAAGAGCCAAAACCAAAAATAGCACGCCAAGTTCGATCAAATGGCATAGTTTTGCTCACTGTTTTCTTCGATTACCGTGACGTAGTTCATCAGGTTAGATTAATTTCAGTTCATTTGAAGTTTGAGTGAAGCAAATCTCTTAACTTTAAAGTAAAACACTTAGTAAGGGAATACGAGAAATCATAATGTAGTAGATTAATTACGTCAACTGAAAATAAATCTCAAATATGGCAGTTCACTGTTTTTTGTCTTCACGGCGAAAACAGAATATCCGCAATATTCCTCACTTTATTTGAACACTGTATAATTTGTGTACGTCATACGTCTTTTAGAGTTGGAAGACCCGCAATCGTCATGATTAACGCTTGCGCAATAATACGGAAAGATGGAAAAGCATTATAAATGTGTGTTTCGTTTTCTGGCAGCAAACAGAAGGTATGAATTGTGTTTTCACCAGTTAAATGTATTCTTTAAATATAAATGAGGTGATAAAACAATATTGCGGAATCCTACGAACGAATATTTCAAATATATCTGAAAATAGGGTGTAACAACAACCTTGCTTGAGAGAGTAAATACAGGAAACTCGATAACTTTTTGAAATACGTTGGAGTACTTGAACTGTAAATGGTTTATTATGATGATATAATATCATTGACGTATGTTACCCATACTTTCTAAAACTGGAAATAAGTCGATTTTGGAAAATAACTCTGAAAAGTTTTAAAATTCATTTGGAAAAGGGTACTCATAGAAGTCTTTGATCAAGGTTCCGAATAATCTTGTTTTATCCATTACCATATTTTTTTAGTCGGTTAGTCATAATAGTCAACAATACTGTTTCATTCTGATTGAGTTTTGTCCGTTTTTATGAGTTTACTTCAAACTGTAATATTTCGGAGAATACTCATTCAATTCAATCTAAATAAGCGTCACTTGAGTCAGTGCACTTTTGTCAACGTAACACGTCGAATAATTCCGTCAGCATAAAAATTGGGTGCTCCTCACATCACAGTTATTTGGTTTGGGATTTCGAATCGTACATCATGGTGATATTCATGGGACATATTATACTCTTTCATTCGATAATTGAATATTCTGTACTCCTAAATACAATTTTCAAACATTACATTCACACACGAAATTTCATATTTTTTTTAGTCACCTGTTTCATTTCGAGCAAGATGTCGTCCGCAGAAAGTATTGTGGATTTCTTTCCAGAAGTCAAAGGGAACTTAACTCGTGTAACCTGGGCACATGCTGTCAATAACTCAACATATCTCACCTCAGTTTTGCAAAATAGTAAGTAGATAATATCATACGTGAAAAGAATACAAACTTTTCGAATGCTTCGAAGTAAAGTTCTTTGGATTTACTGTAATACTGTTTGAAAGTATGTTGGTCAAACTTGACGATCTGTAACAACACAAAAAGCTTAAATTATGTGAGTTCAAACTCTGCTTTACTTAGCCAAGCTTTCGCTTCTAATGGGAAGCTTCTTCAGGGCCTATAATTTAATGTCATTTTTCAATGAGTGTATGATGATTTCATAATTATAGCCAAGCGAAAGCTTGGCTAAGTAAAGCAGAGTTTGATTTTTGATTTTTTGACTGAGAGACCCTGTTAATCTATTTTACCAGTCGCTAAGATTATCCATGTATTGACTACATTTTTGATGATTGTGATTTGTTAGATCAATAATACATTTTCATTTCAGATGAAATAAAGATGATCGAAGCAGACATATTGCTTGGGACATTGACCGGATCTACATCCATGCAAAAAATTCCCATTATGGGTCATCCTCCAGCCAATTCGTCGGATTTATCTCTAGAAAACTTCCTAAAAACAGTAACAGATTTCAACAGTGTTTCGGAAAATTATACCTCCAGCAATGCGCCTGAGATCTCGAATAACGCTACCTCCAGCCCAATTCCTACCAACTCCAGTAACACTGTTGCTCCTGTCACTGGTGGTGTAAACAATAGTGATACTGAAAACAATGCCAATATTCCTGGCGTTAATGGAAATAACAGCAGTACAATTAATAATACCAATGAATCTATCAACACAACCTCCAGTAGCAGTACAAACAATAATTCTAGCAGTGCTGTGAGTGGCGGCAATAATGCTATTAATGAAAATGTACCTACTAACATAACCAATGCAACGATTTCCATCAATGCTACAGATACGGATTCCAATACTACTTTACCGGATAGTTCAGTCCAAACAAAAGTCAGTAGAGCCACTAATAGCTCTGATTCGTCCAAGAAAGGGGTAAAACTGGATTTCAAAACAATACAAGTTTTCAATGAGTCAATCGCTATCATCAAAGGTTATAACAATGTGAGTAATAACGAGTATCAATCTATTTATCGTGCGTTTTACGGTTTGTATTATGACTGATTGATGTACATTTGTATATATTGAGATGAAATGTCATCAGTTTCGTTTCTAACATGGTGGTGGGTGGACGTGCCAATAGCGACCGTCCACAAAGAAGGTACGCAGACGCCATTGTTGGAGATGGAACTCAGTTCATGTTGTGAGTATCCGCCGTTTTATAACGTGCAAGCATAAATTAAAAATAGTGGTAATGAACATTGTTTAAGTGTTTTTGAAAAATAGTGCTCTCATTCACACCGGTTGGAGGCCGGGGTGGACCCGAGGTCCACGTGGGATATTCTTTTATGAAGAGGACGTTAATTTTATATGTATGTATATGTTCGCCGCAGAAAGACGTGCCTATCAAAAATTAATATTTTGGGAAGAAAAATAATGGAGTGCAGTATTGCGTAAAGCAAGACTTTTGCACTCCCCGGACAAAGTTTTTATTATAGTAAAAACTATAGTACTGGTCATAATAGCGCCATCTGGAAGTTGGGACCAAAATTAAGCGGAAGAATAAGAAGAGATAAAATGTGATTTCTTGACAATTCAATATTCGTAAGAGGAATTAATTAGAAAAAAATTATAAAAACTCAATAATACAGATTATTGTATGATTTCCACCATAATGGGTTTTATGAAAACCGCCCCGTATCAGCACAAAGTAGCAGCATTCAACAGTATGATCCACAGACTGCTAAATGTTCCCTTGTCAGATAGTGGAAATCATACAATAAACTGTATTAAGAAGTTTCAATATGGATTTTCACCAAGTATCGGCCAATTCTATTCAATTGTTAACGAATCATAAAGCTTTATAAAAGATAACTCATTATATCGGCCATATAATTTTTGGATACCATTTTTATAGTATGATTTGTCTTTAGCCTCAAAATAGGTCCCAGTTTTGACAATTTCCTCTTCGTGCTAAATTCCTTTCCGATTATTTTATTGAAGTCTGAGAACAGGAAAAGTCAGTGGGGACCAGATCTGGAGAATACGGTGGATGCGGAAGCAATTTGAAGCGCAATCTATTCAACATTACATTTTGTTATCGTTTTCATTGATTTGTGATACGTTTCATTGTCTTGATGAAATAGTACTTTGTTTTTCTTCAAATGGGGCCGTTTTTTCGCGATTTCGTTGTTCAAACACTTCAAAATCGCTATATAATAGTCGCTGTTGATGGTTTTTCCTTTTTCAAGTCTATGAATATTGTAACATGCGTATTCCAAATTACTAAAACCATAACCTTACCAGATGACTGTTGCGTCTTTGTACACTTTGGAGTCAGTTCACACGTGCAGTCCACTCAGATAATAATTAATTTGATTCTGGTGGAAATGGTGGAGCCATGTGTCATCCATTGTCACATATCGATGCATAAATTCGGGTTTTTTACGGTGGAACAGCTTCAGGCACTGCTCAGAAATATCAATTCGTTGTTGTTTTTGGTCGATTGTGAGCTCGCGCGGCTGTCACTTTGAACAGATCAAAACATCAATTCGTTCAATCTCTATTCTGTAAGAATGGATAATGTTTTAGTCAACTCGTGGAACATTCAAAATAGTAGGTATGGTTCAAGGTACAGGCTTGGGTAGTAAGGGAATAATTTGGCACTGTCCAATGGTGACTAGGCTTTATCATTACATGCTCAGCTGAAACATCTTATTTCTTGTCTTTCTACTTCTCTCCATCTTCATTCAAAAAATTGTGAAAACTTCTTGAAGAAAGAAGAAAGGAAATCAGTTCAAAATAAACTCTTTACAAAGATGTGTAGATCCTGCATAGAAGATAGTTCCAGATGCAAACTGGAAGAAGACCATCCGAAACAACTACTTTCACATGAACTTTGAATTACATGAAAATAACTACTTTCATGTTAACATTTAGTTATATGAAAATTACTTTTTTCTATTCAATGTGTTCCTCCAAACATTCGTTACGGAATTGAATCAGATATCATTCATAAGAACGGATCTCTCCTAAAAGATACCTCTTTCAATCTGATCTAATTTCTACAGGCATCATTTCCTCTTTGGCTGAATGCTGATATACTTCGAGGTCCGGGGAATCCCGCAATCGTTCCAGTGAAAGCGGCTGAATTTTTGAGTCAAGCAAAACAGTTTACAAAAGCAACATTATCTCTTGGTTGGACAACGGATGTTTCAAACGGTACCGGTAGCTACACGGATGCTCAAATTAACCAAATGATAGAAGTTATCAAGTCGCATAATATCACGAATGAAATAACTTTTGCAGGTAAGTCTGCAGTGAAGTATTCAGAGATCTAATTACTTTTTAAATGTTGATGAAAAATTGTGTTACTTAATCATACACATTTCCAAAAAAAACAACATATTAAGAGATATATTTTACGACTCTAGAGTTGTTTCGGATCTATTAGAGAATTAAGTTCATTGACAGAATAACTTTTTGGAAACAATTTCTTCAGGAAGAAGTGAATTGTAAGGAATTCAAAGCAGCATGCATGTATCCACGCATGATACTAATATTAATGCAGCTAATTCAGCATGCATGGATACACATGAACAATGTACTAGCACAGAATGGAGATTTTAAATAAATGAATAACACCGATTTTATAGATTTCCTCAGACGGTTCTATAAATCCTTGAACTTTACCCGCGCTGGCTTCCATGCATTTTATTAGAGGAGTTCCTACATAATTTATTCTCATGACTTCATTTTCCATTCTCATAAGAAGATGGTTCTCAGCCAAAATTCCTGAAATGTAGATATGCCATCACCAAAAATTATTGTGTTCCCAAAGATCAAAAAATGTCCTAGATGGCGTCAATTTCAGGATATATAAGGTTAAAGGAGTCGAATAAACTTCTAATGCATTCTATGCAACCCACATTAATTTTCTACTGAGATTTGAGACATATTGATTTTGTCACTACTAGAAATGTTTCCGGTAACATTATCATAATTTTTGGTCTAATTGTTTCAATTTGACTGGTTTAGCGTCTCTTAGACAAAAATCACGTGAATCCACTGATAAAACAGGAAGCTTTAGACTTACTTACTATTTGTCTATCTCAAAATTATTTTCAATTTGACGAAAAATTTTATTCATGCAGTGAAAGACTGATAATGGAAACCCTTTGAGTCCTTTACTGGCTGATATTTTCATGGATTACATAGAGATTGAAATCCATAATAATCAGCTAACTAACAGTTTCTTGTACTGGTACAGTTAGGTAGATGATATCTTAGTATGTTTTACTGGTACAGATATGCAATTAGGCAAGTTTGTTGAATATGCCAATTCCATCCACTCGTCAATAAAATCCACCACTAAAAGGGAAGTTAGTAATTCAATAAATTACCTTGACTCAACCATTACGAAAAATAAAAATAAACATGAATTTGCAATTTTCCACAAACCACCTAACACGGACATTATCATTCATAATTCCTTCATACACCCTTACCAGCATAAAGTTGCTGCATTCAGTAGTATGATTCACATACTATTGAATATTCCACTGTCTGAGAGTAGTTTCCAGAGAGAGCCGAGTTTGATCAAACAAATCACGGTCAACAACGATTGAGAGATAGATATTATAGACTCAATTCTTTCCAAAAAAACTACAAAATCAAGCCATGGACCAGGTCTACCCAAATCCAAGATGCGATAACGTCAATTATAGGACATTGTCACATGTGGGTGAACCAACCAATGACATTGCCCGTTTTTTTTGAAGAAAGAATGCGTAAACGTAGCTTATAGAGAGAATAAAAGTGTAATTGAAACCATTAAGGGCAATAAAGACAAAACTTCGGTGTCGGATAGATCAAGAGTATATAAGCTGACTTGTGGTTCTTGCAAACTGTATATTGGCCAAACAGGGAGAACAGTCTCTCAAAGAAATAAAGACGATAGAAGTAGTTTTATAAATGCAAAGACCAATTCCACATTTGCAAATCACCTTTTAGCAGAAGGACATAAGATCAATTACGACGTCTTACATTTAGAAGAGAAGAGTTTGAAACTCAATCTTCTAGAAAGTTTAGAAATCATTAGATTGAAGAATTCGAGTAGTTTACTGAATGATCAATTAGAATTGAATAACTTCCCGTTACTAAATATGTTTTCAAATGTGGAAACTGGGACTTAAGCTCAAGTGATTTATTTCATTACAAACTCAGGTAAAAATCAGATACTTGAAATGTAGGTACTTCAAATTGTAAAATTAGTGTTTTTTGAATACGATATTAACTTAGGATGTATAAACTTCTGAGGAAACTAGCCACTCGCACCAACGAAACATCAGGAAGAAATTCCAAAAATCCACCCGGAAAATAGTGACACTGAAAACCTCGACTGCGAAAGTCTTAACCATTTTGTCAATAGGTTTTCGCTGAGTTTCAACATGAAAACCCAAGTTCTTAATGGAATCAGTGTTCAAGTATTCTTATAATTCCGTTTCAATATTCAAGTCAAATATTACTAGCTGTATATAGTCAGTTCATCGCTGGGTATAATGAAGAATTCTTGTTATATCACAGGGAAAAATGTTATAATTCACTTCATTTTCATTTAATTTACCTTTCTCGAAAACAAATTCACATTTGTATAGGAATAGTCTAGTAACACAAGACTCCACGAAAATATTTCATATTAAAATGAAATAGTATATGCAGGGTGTATCAACAATGTGCAGGTGGAAGATAGACCGAGTGACATTTTTTTCATACATGGAAAATAAGGACATACCTGAATAGGTAGCAGAATAGATTTATCACAATAGTCGACATTAAACCCATCTGTTGAGATATTTTAAATAAAATAATGTAAATCTTGGGGTCCTTACAGCACCACCAAAAATGTATCAATTGCAATTTACCTTGTACTCAAGTGAAGATTCTTAACGATTCACATCATAATATAGCGTAATATAGCATCATTGAGTGACTTACAATATTTTTTGCGATTCAAGTTTTAGTCCAAATTGACCCCAACAAATTTTACATTTTCTAAATGATTGAAGGGTTCATTATCCACATCTTCTTTGATAAGGATGAATTCTTCTTTTCATTGTTGGGAACCAATTATTGAGAACATTTAGTACATCGTTACAATCACTCTCTACTTAGATCACTTCTATCGTCTGTATACCTAGTGAACTGAGCTCAATTCACTATGAATTCAATTCCATTTGTATATTACAAAAAAACATTAATTCAAGTACAGAACCTTGTGGTAACCCATGATTGAAACATAATGTTCTAAGTTTACGTTTTTTATTACTGTATGATTTGGATTGTTAACATTGTTTTCTGTTTGGTAAAAATGATGAACAGAAAAACTCCTTTGTCATAAGAAAACATTGTTTTGCTAGAATTCAATTATTTAATTTTATCGCTCACTTGTCCGGCACAGCACTGCGCTGTCCGTCGCCTTATGGCAACGGGTAGTAGCATCGCCCACTTGTCCGGCTAAAACCAGCATACTGAAGGTGCTGATTTCAAGGGAATTTCACTTGACATCGAGCAATGACAGAAACACCGCAGTTCTGACGAAGAAGTCGTCATTATAGTGGCCGCATTATTGACTGTAGAAAAAAATAGTCACAAAAAAGAAGGATACAGGTCCATAACATTTTCCAAAAGAGGGCAAATCTGGGAGAGTTTCATCATCTTTTCAACGATCTGAAAGAAGACGATGAGAAATTTTTCATTTTTCCAGTATTTCCGAATGTCTCCAGGCAAATTTTCAGAACTTCTGGATATTCTAGAGCAGGGTTGTCCAACTGGCGGCCCGCGGGCCGCATCCGGCCCGCGAGGCTATTTGTTGTGGCCCACGTAAGATTTTCGAAAAGCATATATTTTCTTTAAATGCTGCCACTGTGAAAAAAGATTTTTTAATTTATATTTCATGGTTTAGCAGTGTTTTTACATCACAAGTACTGTACCGCGTGCCGCTTTGCGGACGTGTAACGAACACAATCGTCCTCCACCACTATGAGAACTGCACTGATTACTGCGCATCACAGTTCACGCAGGCTACACCTCCCACCTCCCACTGCTTACCATCCGTCGCCAGGCACCATCGTGCGACTGACACGTATTCTAGTCGGCTAATCTATTACGTTGCTAGTGAACAGTGCTTGATTAATTCTTTGTTTAGATTCCTCTTATACAATAATGAGTGTAAAACCAATAAAACGGAAAATTGATAGTGAGAACAGAATTTACAAAGAAAGTTGGGAGAGTGATTACTTGATTGCTAACAATAATGGAAAGTTGCAGTGCTTAGTGTGCATGAATGTAGTTTCAGTGCCTAAAGAATATAATGTGAGAAGACATTACACAACAGTGCATGAAAATAAGTATGCTACGTACACAAATGAAAGTCGGCGTGCCCTAGTTGCAGATTTGAAGAAAAAGCTTAAACAGCAAACTGGTATGTTCAGTAAAATATTACACTCTCAAACGCATTCTTTGCATGCATCTTATGCCGTGTCGCTTGAGCTGGCAAAGGCAAAAAAACCTTTCACTGATGGCAATTTGATAAAAAAATGTGCTGTTGAAATGGCCAAAGCTTTCGGTGATTCTAAAATGGCGGAGAAATTTGAATCAGTGCCACTTTCACATCAAACCATACAAAGAAGGATTGTTGCTATGGGTGAGCAAGTAGAAAAATCTATGCTTAGCCTGGTTAAGAAAAGTTCATATTTCTCACTTTGTTTGGATGAAAGCACTGATCAAACCGATATTAGTCAGCTGTTAATATTTGTGCGCACTACTTTTGATGATTTTACCAGTAAAGAGGAGTTATTTGATATTTGTCCTCTTTATGGAACAACAAAAGGAAAAGACATCTATGAGGCTGTGAAGAAAACAGTTGACAGAATTGGAGGCTTTGATAAATGTTCAGCCATAGCAACAGATGGGGCCCCATCAATGACAGGTAAAAAAATTGGATTAGTGGGTCTGCTTCGAGAGAATGGTGTCACTTGCCCAACAATTCATTGTATTATACATCAGGGAGCTTTATGTGGAAAATCAGTCAAGGAAGATCAAGTTTTCCAAACCGTGATTAAGATTATAAATATGATTAGAGGTGGAAATCGATCTCTTTTACACAGGCAACTTAAGCAGTTTTTAGTGGAAACAGAGGCTGAGTATGGAGACTTGCTAATGTACAACCATGTAAGGTGGCTGAGTGCAGGAAAGTGCATGGAACGATTTTTTGCCATAAGAAAGGAAATCCCTGCATTCCTCAACAAATACGTTTCATCTGACACAACTGAACTGGAAGAGAAGTTTAAGGATCCAGAATTCTTAAGACAGTTAGCATTTATAACAGATCTGACTAATCATCTTAACAAGTTAAACTTGAGTCTCCAAGGAAGAAACCAGACGGTTTCAGATTTGATCGGAATGATAAACGGATTCCGGAATAAGCTGAACGTGTTTAAACGTGCTTTGGAAAAGAACAACCTGACACACTTCCCTAGCTGTCTGCAAATAGCAGAAGAATTCAACGGTGAGGAAAATATTGAGTTTTCATCCTGCATTTCACAAATTGAACAAGTTATTGATGAATTCAATACAAGATTTGAAGAAATTGAAAGTCTTAAAAGCAGTGTACTACTTTATAATAACCCTCTTGGAGCAACCATTGATGATCAACCACCCAACTTACAGCTTGAGTTATGTGATCTTCAAGCAGACATGTACCTAATCACCAAACAAGAAAAGGGACCTGAATTTTTCAAATTACTGCCAAAGGAGAAATTCCCAAACCTGCGAGATTTTGGACTGAAAATGACGTCAATGTTCGGAAGCACATATACATGTGAAAGTGCCTTTTCCTCCATGAAATACATTAAAAACAAAAACAGAAGCAACCTAACCGATTTTTCCTTACTTCATCTTATGAGACTGTCTACAACTGAACTGGAGGTGGACATTTCCTCATTGGTGGATGAAGCCGATCGACCACAGTCCTCACACTAATTGATACATCTTTTTCGTTGCTTTTGCAATGTTTGTCTTCATTATTAAAAAGTGTTATCAATAAATTTTCCGTTTATCAAAAAATGTATTTGTTGAGCAATAAAAGAAATAATACTCTTTTTTGTTTTAATTATTTTTATACCTCACTTTATTTTGTTATTACTTGTTACAAAATTATTATATGGCCCGCGACAACATCAAAGGTTTTAGTTTTGGCCCTTGAGGCATTGCAAGTTGGACACCCCTGTTCTAGAGCCTGCCTTAACAAGCAACTCAATTTTTCCTCGTTCATTTACATAGGCACCGTCTGACGCTGTGCTGTCAACTTATGGAAACAACAGAAAGACAGAAACTTCCCAGGCACTTTTGGACAAGTTGATGCTGGCAAGCGCTGGCCGGCGACGCGCTCACTTGGCCAGTCCGTCACAGCACGTTCTATTATTTGCCGGTCAGGATAGGAGAGCTGGAATCCTTTCCGGCGGCAAACGCTCTTGGCTGTGACGTGTAGGGCTAGTGGGCGGTTGTCCATTCTTTCTCATTGTTTCAATCCTATCCGTATTTTGACGGGACGGGCCGTGCTGTGCTGTACCGGGCAAGTGGGCGACAAGCTTTACACAATCAAGTCACGGCTCAAGCTTGTCACCCACTTGTCCGGCACAGCACGGCCCGTCCCGTCAAATAACGTATAGGACAACTTCCCACTAGCCCGGCATGGCACAGCCAAGAGCGTCCGCCGCCGGAAGGAATTCCAGCTCTCCGATCCTATCCGGCAAATAACGGTACGTGCTGTGACAGACTGGCCAAGTGAGCGCGTCGCCGGCCAGCGCTTGCCAGCATTAACGTGTCCAAACGTGCCTGGGAAGTTTATGTCTCTTTGTTTCGCTATTCCATCAATTAACAGCACAGTGTCAGACGGTACCTATGAAAATGGACGGAGAAAAATTGAGTTGCTTTTTAAGGCAGGCTCTAGAGTATCCAGAAGTTTTGAAAATTTGCCTGGAGTCATTCGAAAATACTGGAACAATTTTCCCTCGTCTCCTTTCGATTGTTGAAAAGAGGATGAAACTCTCCCAGATTTGCCCTCTTTTGATTAATGGGATGGACCCAAATCCTTCTTTTTTAGGCGACAAGCTTGAATCGAAAAATATTCCAAACGGGCATTCCCCTGCTACAAGATATAATATTTCAGTGAATAGAAAAATTGTTACATTAGGTGAAAATCTATGTAGACTCAGTTGAGATAGTAAATTTATCCAAATAATGGAGTAACCGTGAAAACAATATACAAATATTTTTGAAAGAACATAGGCCTTGGAAGAATTGGATAATTGAAATCTATCTATCTATAACAAGACCAAAAAAACAATGTAAAGACACTTTTATTTCGAAAGACAAAAATTCTGATTTCAGTAGTCAGACATCATGACATTAATAACAAAAAAATAATAATACGAGGTGTGGCTAGAAAATAGCGGGAACCGTTTTCTTCTTGACAAACTATGCAAACCTCAAGGTGAAACGCCGTATTGACGAGTCGCCTGACATCTCCCTACACATTCCAGTCGTTGGACGACACTACCGTAGCGTTTAGTACCTTGTTCAGTTGGGCCACAGCCTTTGTTCAATTCTGCCATATCGAAAAAATGAAGGCTTTTTAATTGAGCAACTTGTCAGCGTGAAATGTTCGGTGAAACTCGGTAAATCCGTAACATAGACCATACATCATATATAAGTCATTTTTGTTCTAGCAAGAGATTACAGATCTAACTCCATGTGAGTTTTTTGTTCCCGAAAGTGAAGTGAGCTTTCAGAAAATGACAAAATATTTTTTCACTGGAAAATTTGAATGAAAATATGTATGGATAATTGAGGGGAGTGAATTGAAAGAGGTATAAGGTGAAAGTTGTTAAAGAAAAAAATAAGAAGTTAAACCAAAAACCCTGTTAGTTTCTAGCCAAACCTCGTATACTGTGCGATGTGCGATTAATCTGTTCTTGGCAATATTTTTCTTACTATATATTATATTATAGTCCGATCGGCGATAGCAGCTGAAAGTTTGCCGCAAATGAGAAAGTTGGTAACAGGCATCGAAGGTTCAACTCTAACATTATGGTCAGCAGAAAAAGATATTGTTGACGTCAACAAGTTGAGGACTCTCATTAGCAATATTGGAGTTGGAAAAATCTACGTAGATGTACCCGATAGCATTAAGAAACAACTGAATTTGGATAACTTGCCTCCTAACGGTGCCACTTTGATGTCAAAGATGTCGGGATTGATTTTATTACTCACGTTCTTATTAATGTCATTCTCTTGAACAACAAATGTGCATTGATAAATTTGTATGTGATTGTTTCATCTCGACTGTTATATAAACGAAAAGTAACTTGTAAATAAATAGTAGGTTACTTGATGTGTTTTACTTCATTCTTTGGAAAAATATCAAACAAAATATTTCATCAGATTGAAATGAAGAAAGATTCACTTTAATCTCTTCTCGAGCATTCGGTAAAAATTATGTAATCATCCACGTTGAAAGAATTACTATTTAACCCATATTTTTTCAAGCAAGGTGAGGTTCATAAAGTGTGTGTGGAATATAAATACTTTGTGAAATATGAAGTCTCGTGAAAACGCGTAACGTTTTGAATTTCATTTTTCATTCTTACAATGAAGATATTTTGATATGCATATTTAGTTTGCAGCTGGTATGAAACTGATGAGTATAAATAATCCAAACGATCCACACACAAACATTATTCTGATGGTTTTTTTAATGTATCGAAATGGTACGTGCTTCGTGGTACTTATCGAAACTTCCGTATTGCCTCAAATCTTTGTCATTTAAATAGATTTCATATATGTGAAAAATAATAAGAGGTGTCCCAAGACGTAATCACAAGACAGTATTTCCTTGCAAAAGATACCAGAATCACTCTCGTCAGTACCGTACTGGATATCTGGATTTTTTTACAATTTGAACAATGAACATCCCTCATTCAGATGGGGCTGGATTTCTGTGAGATAGACTGTGCTCACCTCAAGGTCAAATGCCAATACTGCCGAGTCGCCAGACATCCCCCTCCACATTCCATCCAGTTGGACGACACTAGCTTGCTCAGTTGGCCGCCTTTGTCCGTGTCGATCCTTGTATCTGCCGCCGCGTTTTAACTGAGCAAAATAATTCCATGAAAATCAAAGGATAAATAGATAAGTACTATTCTGATCATTACCATATTGATTTCAATTTAGGAGCCACCGGTAGACAGCTGTTTCAGCCTATTGGGCATCGCCAGTACCAGGCAGACGGTCTTCGATCGAAGACAAAATGTGCGGAAGGACGGCGGAAGGTCATCTAGGTTGGAGCCTGGCTCCCTTACCCCTTGGACTGATGTTTGCCAGAAGGACAAACGGGTAAGACAAAATGTGATAGCCAAGAAAAGTAGGTACTTAATGAAATAACTGCGTAAACGTAAGCGAGACGTAAGTGGAACCACCTATTAGTGTGACACCCAAGTCAACTTGCCAAGTTGTTACGTCAGTGTTGGTGGTTTGACAAATCAACCGACAACTGCGGTAGCAGAAATTTGGGAAGCTAACCTGAAATGCCATCGGAAAACGAATCCACATGTTTCTAGAAATGATATGAAATCGACATAAGTGGAACCACCAATAGGTGGTCCCACCAATAGTTGGTCTACCAATAGGTGGTCCCACTTTGTCTCGCATTCGTTTACGCAGTTATTTTTATCGAGTATTTTTTTTGGTTATTCACATTTTATTTTCAATCGAGGACCGCCTACCCGGTACTGACAATGCCCAATACACTGAAACAGCTGCCTACCGGTGGCTCTTAGATTGAAATCAATATGGGAATGAAAAAGTTACAATATTGAAATTAACCTGACGTTTTGTACTACCAAAAATACACTTAGCGAGTGCTTTTTTTCACAAGCACTGAAAAAGTTACAATATTGAAATTAACCTGACGTTTTGTACTACCAAAAATACACAGAACACCGGGCCAGTTCTGTGGTCCTCCTCGACCTATCCACTGATTTGCTATGTTTCAGTTAAATGCTGACGTACTACTTGACTAAAATGGGCGGGAGCCCCATCATGCATAAAAAATATATCCCTTCTGACGCCCAAAGGAACTTCCTCCAGCAATACTGGATGCAATTCTCTTAAAAATTGAACGTATGTCTCACTATTTAATCGAGGAAGTAGAGAATGAGGCCCAATTAAAACATCCCCAATAACTCCGAGCCATTTAAATTAGCCGAGAAATTGGTTAACTCAGTTAAATAAAAACACAATAGCAACTTTCACGTCTCCCTATGTACCATAGAGTTTTAAGAGAGTTTTTTTTTCATTTTTAGTTACCTATTCATATTTCCATTGCTCTGAGCGTTTTCTACAATGAACTTCAAATAAGAAAACCTTTTATGACTATCTGAAACATATCTACAACAAAAATATATTATATCTGTTTTGATGAGCAGAAAAAGAAATGATAGCAATAATAATATCCAAAACTAACACTATAATTGTAATGAAAATTGAAAAGAAGTAATTTATATACACAAAAAAATAATGGCACAATAAATGTTCGGATTGGAGTCCTTCTATTTCGAGACAAATATTGGGCCAATATAATAGCCTGCAAGATCGCCAGATCTTACTATTTTGGTGTATTTTCTATGGGAACATTGAAAAATAGGATTTACGCTGGCAGAGAGATAGAAAATGTGGAAGACTCGAGAATGAGGATTTTGAATGATTTCGCAACAAGGCAGCAAATTAGTGTGTTGAGGGCAATGAATTCCGATATTTATTGCGCCATTAATTTTTTGTGTATATAAATTACTTCATTTTAATTTTCATTACAATTACCTATAGTGTTCGTTTCGGATGTTATTATTGCTATCATTTTATTCTACTTATTAAAACACATATAATAAATATATTTTTCTGCTGGAAATGATTCCATAAAAAACAAAATATGAATAAATAAGTACTTTCTGATCATTCCCATATTGATTTCAATTTACGAGCCACCGGTAGACAGCTGTTTCAGACTATTGGGCATCGTCAGTACCGGGCAGGCTGTCCTCGAATGAAGACAAAATGAGAAAAACCAAGAAAGTTCTTCATAAAAATAGCTGCGTAAAAGCAAGCGAAACATAAGTGGAACCACCTATCGGTGTGACACCCAAGTAAACTTGACAAGTTTTTATGTCAGTGTTCGTGGTTTGAAATCAGAATGGGAATGATCAAAAAGTACTTATCTATTTATTTTTTGATTTTCATGAAATTATTTTCCAGCAACTTGACTGCATTAACCTTTCTAAATTTCATATCATTTCTAGAAACATGTGGATTCGTTTTCCGATGGCATTTCAAGTTAGCTTTCCAAATTTTTGCTACCGCAGTTGTCGGTTGATTGGTCAAACCACCAACACTGATATAAAAAACTTGGCAAGTTGACTTGGGTGTCACACCAATAGATGGTTCCACTTATGTTTCGCTTGCATTTACGCAGCTATTTTCATCAATAATTGAATAGAACTGGCCGATACTTGATGAAAATCCATATTTAAAAAACTAATCAATAGAGTTTATTCGATGATTTTCACTATAAGGGTTTTACAAAAACCGCGACACGTGTTTCGATATACAATAGCTTCTTCAAGCATAACTGAGAGTTACTTCTAAATTACAACCTTATATACTATAACCTAGTACCTCTTCGTCTACCTAAGTAATAAATCTACCTGAAAAAATATACCTGAAAAAGTCAGGTATCCATACATTTTTCGAAAGTCTACCTGTAAATATACCTAACTATTATTACCTGCGTATGAACAGATTCAATAATGGTCAGTTATTATCCAACCGCACATTTGTGGTTCCAGTTAGAAGACCTAGAATTCCCAGGCTACATGCTGTCATCGTCAAGGTTCTACTCAAACTGAAGGTGTCAACCTCTTTTGTTTATCCTTTTATGCGGTCCGAACGTCTTAGTGCTTAGCTATCAGCAAAAGAACTGGATGATAAGTAATGTCACGGGGATTGCCATAACATAAATATTTAGTACAATAGGTGACATTTGTTGGCACTTCATATGGAGTTAGTCTTGCCAAAAATTCTTCGCATTCTATACTCTATCAGAAAACTCCAGCAGAGATAATGATTCACTTTTGGTGTGAGTAGCTCAATCAAGCATAAGATTGGAGATAACAAAATGCACCTAGTGACAGTAGCAGAACGTTGATCTGGGGTTTATTAACACAGCCTACTCAGAGCACAAGAATAATAATGACCTGTGTAGTAGATAATGTAGATATCAAAATAAAGGAGAAATTAGGATATTTTGAATAAATTACACCACGTCCTTTGGTGGAGATCAACCTCGTTTAAAAATATCTCGAATAAGTTCATTTTACTGTAATGAATTATTGTTAAATATTTGGGTTTCTACGCTAGATAATTTTTGTATGCTTTTTCAGGTCGATCCTTTGTGTCTGAAGTGTTGTTTCTTCACTACGAATGGAATTTGAAACAGTTTATATTCAGTATTATTTTAATATTACTGGAGTTTTTTCCAACACAAAACCGTTATTTTAACACCTCGATACGTGTTTCGATCACCAAGTTGAAGATGATCACTTGGTGATCAAGAGGAAGATCAAATTGTTCGATCTTCCTCTTGAAGATGATCATTTGGTGATCACTTGGTTCACTATAATATAGTGAAAATCATACAATAAACTGTTTTAATTAGTTTTAATATGGATTTTCATGGATTATCGACCAGTTCTACTCAATTGAATAAAATTACCTTTTCATCACTGTTTCTTCGTACCGGAATATTTTTGAAGGCTGAAATTTTGTAAGTAGGTTCGTTTCATACTGTAGATGTGCAGTAAGAAAGAATTTTTAAATATTCCAACTGGGGCGTCAGCCGCGGAGGAAAAAAGCGCGTCCATAAAACAAAATTATCTTTTCATCACTGTTTCTCCATGCCCTTAAATTTCCGGTTGGTGAATTTTTGTATGTCGGTTCAATTAATGTTCCAGATGTGCAATAAAAAAGAAATTATAAATATTCCAACTAAGACATCAGCCGCTTGGCTGGTGTCTTACTTACTATTACTTTATCTCATCTGTCCATAATGTGATCAATATGGCCCGTTACAGCATGTAATTTGAATGAATATTTTCGAAGATATTGCAGATTGAAAATGCAGGGAAATAGCGGATGCGGCGGTACTGGACCAATTATATTTATTTATTTATTTATTTATTTGATCCATACAAACTTGTTAAGTTTTATTACATGGATTCCTATTATTAACAATATATACAATGTAAATTCAACTTAAAAAAAGAAATATATTTTTATTACGTACCTACTATAAGAACTGTTGGGGTACAGATTTAGGTAGATTTAATTTTCACGAAGATATATTCAGTATATTATTCAGTATTGTGTTACGGAATTTGGAATATGGTAAAGACCAATCAATATCCGTTATTTCATTGAATTCATTAGCTAATATCAACATGGTAGCGAGAGGTGATCTAGTGCTAGATATTGGCACAGAAATATTGAACATAATTGTATGTCGAGTACGGCGTGAAGGGACATGAAACGGAATCAAGTGTAGGATTTCGGGGGAATCAATTCGATTATTAATTATTTTATATATGAATATCAGGGCTGAGATTTTGAATTCGCTCCTTAGCCGTGATGTTCGTATTAAATTGTAATCGGGCCATTTATGATATTTTTTAAAATAGAGATATCGAAGAAATTTGTTTTGAACCTTTTCAATTTCTTTTAAAGTAGTTTTGTATTCTCCTGTCCAAATTATTGAAGCAAACTCCAGTTTTGGTCTAACTATAGTATAGTAGAGTAATTTAATTGTATTTATATTATTAAACTCACGCGTTTGTCTCATTAAATATCCCAACATACGATTTGCAGATTTTACTAATACCATTATATGCTTTGTGAAGGAAAAAGTACTATTATAAGTAATGCCTAAGTCTTTCACCTCGGTTTTTTCACCCAGGACCTCTCCATCCATATGATATTCAAATTTGATCACATCTTTCAAACGGGATATTGTTAACGTATAACATTTTTTTATATTGAAAAATAACTTATTAGTATAACTCCAATTCACAATGTTGTTGATGTCTTTTTGCAATGATACGCAGTCTCTAACAGTCTGGATACGTTTAAAAATTTTGAGATCATCTGCAAACATCAGACAATGTGAATGATGTAAGACCGAGGGTAAATCATTAATGAATAATAAGAATAGAAGAGGTCCTAGATTTGATCCCTGAGGAACACCGGAATTAGCATAAAATTTTCCCGAAGTGTTCCCATTATGTTTAACAATGAAATATCTATTTCTCAAGTAATTTTTAATCAGTTCAAGAAAATTCCTCGACAACCCAAATTTACTAATTTTTAGCAAAAGCACATCATGATTTACTTGATCAAAGGCTTTACGGAAGTCTGTGAATACTATGTCCAATTGAGATTTTTTTTGTGAAGTTTCAAAAGCATGGTTGCTTAAAATAAATAAATTAGTATTTACTGACTTCTGGGTCATAAAGCCATGTTGTTCAGGTGCTATGTATTTATTTGCGAATTTATACAGTTTCGAATATATAATTTGCTCCAATAACCTAGACGGAGCACACATAATTGAGACACCTCTATAATTTTCAATTTCTATTTCATTCCCCGATTTGAATATAGGTATGGTAATAGATGTTTTCCAAAATTCAGGAAAAATATTTGACTCAGCTATTAAATTGTAAATATGAAGTAATGGACCTCTTGACCATACATAACAGCCCTTCAATATATAAGGAGGGATGCCATCAATTCCCGCAGCTTTTTTGGGTTTAAGTTTTTTGACAGCTTCATTATAGTCAAGTTCAGTTATTGTATGTAATTGAAAGGAGTCATTTGTCATACTAGAATCATTCAGGTTTACATTGTATGATGCTTTTTCTTCACAGTAAACAGATGAGAAAAAATTTGCAAACGATTCTGCGGTACCCTCATCTGCCACCATTTCGCCCTTATAAGTAAAGCTGCCCAAGCAAGTTTTATTTGTTTTTTACTATTCACATAATTCCAGAATTGATTTATGTGTTTAGTAACATTCGATTCCAAATTTTTTATGTATTGCTTTTTCTCCTTCCTAATTAGATTTTTAACCTTCCTACGTAATTCTTTATATTTCTCATTATTCCAATTAGATTTTTCTATAGTAATTCTTCTCTTTCAGTACGCTTTTAACTTCATTTGTAAACCAAACTGGAAACTTTTTCGCATTTTTATAAAATATATATTTAGGTACATTATTTGCTATCACGTTGTTCCAAACTGTATAAAATTTATCCAGAGCCCTATTTACATCTGTTTCATCAAAAACGGGGCTCCAGTCGGCATCTCTCACCTCTATACTTAGCTGTTGAAAGTCGGCTTTTTTGAAATTATACCAGGACTCCTGTACTTTATATGTATGTTTTTTAATATTTTTTGTATTGATTGTGAAATTAAGAGTTGCTCTCTCAAGAGTAACCTCTAAAGAAAACATGTTTGTATTGTCTGCACAAAAGCTGTGAACGTTGTAAGTATATAAAAGACATTTTGTAGTATATTTAGTATCAGCTTTACACCCGTGCGGAGCCGGGCCGAGTCGCTAGTGTCCTTGTAGTACGAAACTGCAGTAACATTAGTTACAAATAAAAGTGGTATGAAAACAGGAAATTTTAATTTTCACGCTTCATAACTATCTAATTATGTAACTATGCAAATTGGCACTATCTAATTTTCATTAACCTACTTGCATTATCTAAATTCGATAGATCGAATTTCTAACTAAGCATTTTTGTCAAATGTGCCTACCTGCAATAATATTTTCTTGCGTTATAAATATTGAGTAACTAAATCAGACACATTTTTATCTTTATAATCTTCATGTTTGAACTATGTCGTAAGATTGTTTGACTTCATTCAAAAATGATTTACAAAAACCACTAGCAATTTGAAGATATACTCAAATATAGTTGTTTTTGAAAAACTAGTGTAGACAAACAGTTTGGTGCTTCGTATGAGTGTTCCAAAAGGTTTTGCAAATCCTTTCGTGAGTTTCATCTCTTCTTTAGAGAATGTGAATTGTCAGTTCATTAGAATATATTTGTCCATAAAGCAATATATAGTACTAAATCATGTATTAATCAGGCTCATATTGATTACATAATGGGTCACGTATACAGTTCACACCCACTTTGTGTATAATTCCCCTAGAGTGAATTTGGAAAATAAGTAAATTACTGTCTAGGTAATATCATGTTTTAAAGAATTGGATGTTCAGTTGTCCAAAGGCCTCATATTGTGAAAGAAAGATATCAAGATTCTTTGGTTAAAAATATTTATTTACTCTCCCAGTTGCTTCAAAAATTTCTTTATGAATCATTTTCAAGTAATTGTTAACGCTGAGATCAATAAATAATACAATAATCAATTTTCTTGTGCAGTTGTAATCTCGTCAATAGTAAACTTAAAAATAGGTACAGACCAATAGGTGTTCTTTCGAAATACGTTCGGAGTAGGGGAGGGTCGGGTAAGTTGACGACGTTAACAGAAAAAAATTATTTCAGCTTGGCATTTGAATTATTTTCAAAATTGTTTATTTATATACGATAATAAATATGTAACACACAAGAACATATGAAATCGTATCCAAAAAACTTAAATGTTTTGTTTACAAAAATAAAAAATTCTGTACTTGAGAAATTCGTCATCTTACCCAAAGAAGGGCTAAGATGACGCACATATGCGGGTAAGTTAAAGTATATTAGCATAAGTCGCATATAAATGCTTGTACACCGGAATAATCGGTACAAGATTCATGCCACCATATCAAGCATTGCGAGCACTGAATGCAGTCTTCTGTAGGTGGATCTTCGAAGCGTTCATCGCAAGCAGGACATAATATAATTTTTTCGTTTTTATTTTTGGTTTCGCATGTTTTTTTCTTTTTGTTTTTTGTTTCTTTCTGATTTTTAACATATTTTTGTTTTTTCACTCGTCTTGCATCTTCCTTCTGCCTTTCATTTTCTAACTTCTCCTCCAACTGTCTTTTCATAGGCGTGCTAGTGATAATACTGGTAGTCATTTTTCTACGTTTTCTGTTATCTGGTCGTTCATATTTTGGGAAAGGTCGTATGTCCAAGAGTGACACAACTTTTTTTCCCTTCTTTTTGTCGGTTTCTGTGACGTAACTTTCAGTTGAGTTTTCAGATGAGGCATGGTTCTGGATTCCACTTGGACCGGGAGTAGCGTCAAATATTTCGGATGAAGTTATGGTTTAGGTTTGGATTCGGCTTGAACTAGATTTTTTTTGAAAAATTGTCTTCTTAACTTTGGATATGGCCAATGTTGCGGTTGTGCAGGAAGGTTCATTTTTATTTGGCGTTTTGTAAGTACTCAAAACTACTTACTGTAGTGAAGAAGAATAATTAACAACTGTGTTTACGAAATGTGCTAGAGGCAGCATCCGCTGAATCATCTAATGATTTCATATCTAATTGTCGAATCTTATAGTTTTTTTTCATCTGAAACAGATCTCTCCAAATCATTTTCATCTGAATCATCTAGTGATTCACTAGCTGCTTGTCGGATTTGCCGTTTTTCTTTTTTCATCTGAAACAGATCTCAAATTGTTTTCTTGTAAATAATTCTCCTTCTCTGTTGTTTTAGCTGCCGCATATTCTTTATCGCCAAAAATGAAGGGATCGAATGGTTCAATCCCGCACTTTCTGAAACCGTTAACCGCATTTCCAACCGTTGCAGCCTTCAGATATGAGTTATTAAAAATTCTACAAATATTTTTATCAGTAATTGTTTGACCAGGGTTACTGACAACAAAGGAATCGCAATCTCGAGAAAAATATGTTTTCAAAGGCCCAAAAGAAGACACATCTAAAGGCTGTAATCGGTGTGTAGTGTGTGGCGGAAATCCCATCATTACTATTCCGTTTTCTCGACAATAGTTGATACCTTGCAATGAAATGTGGAAAGAATGATTGTCAACCAATAGAAGCACTGGATTTTCCGGTGTGGGGTTTGTATGAGTTTTAAAGTGTTTCAGGTATTTCAGATATATATCCGTACACATCCAACCGTTTTTGTGAGCACTTCCTCTGGACCCTGGTGGTGCCCCAAACAGCAACTCGTCTTTCATTCATATTCTTCCGAAAATAAAAAAAGGAGGGACATAATGTCCAAGTGCGTTTGCGGCGCATACTACAGTTCTATTCTTGCCACGCTCTGCAGTCACTATTCTTGCAACACGTCGAGCCCCGGTAGGACTTAAAATCTTCGGAAGTTTGGTAGGCACAGAAGATAAACCACTTTCGTCTGCGTTGTAGATACGAATCGCCTCAAAATTGTATTTATCTCGAACTTCTCGAAGGATGTGAAAAAATTCCTCAACAGCAATTTTGTTGAAACCCATAAAACGTCCTATCGATATAGGCTTTGGAGTTCTGAGACTTATTTTGAATTTCATATGAAAAGACGTTATCCAGTCTTTGCTATTTTTGCCATTTTTGATGATTTATTAAACCGATGTGAAATGTTGTTCTGCTCTGCATAGTCAAATGCTAGTCTCCCGAGCTGAACTTTCGTAAGCCCGAAAGCTCTTCTGTCGATATCTGTTATATAGTCGGCAAGAGACTTACTTTGATCTGAACTGAAAGTATTGCGGTATCTTCCACCATGTTCTGGAAGTGCTGCTCCTTCTCGATGTTTCTTTATATAGCGTCTAAGTTGCCTCGGGGATATCGTAGCGTGACGCAGCACTATTGCAAGATTCACCACCATATACTGCCTCCAACGCTGCAATCAAACTCACTTCGCTCCAGGACCGCCTTTCGGACCTCTTTGTATATTTTTGTGGCATTCTGTAAAATTAAATGTATTTACTGTGCGAAACTTTGTGCATGGGTAAGATGACGACCTCGTGGGTGAGTGTGGGTAAGATGACGAAGTTCATCATCTTACCCGCACCATCTTACCCGTTGAGGTTATGTTTGAAACCGGATAGCATATTTCCACGACAAACATGATATCGATATTAATTGTAGTGACATGCTATGAAATACATTCATTACTAATAATTGAGCACAATCAAATGTCAACATACTTTCAACAGTTGGTTAGGATGCTTATTCAACACAATGGTTATGTTAGAGCAGATATGCGAGATACCTTAATTTCCACTGTAGCTGCCAACTGTTCCGCAGCGTTGCAGGGTTGCGTTCCTTACTTAATTCCCCTAATGTTGACGAGATGGCGGCACCATGCAGAAAACCTACATAGTTACGTTTAAAGAAATTACTAGCCGTTCGTCATCTTACCCAGTTCGTCAACTTGTCCGACTTTCCCCTACTCAGAAAGAGAAACAAAAAAGAAAACTAAATGTATGATACAATAGATTTCATTGCATTTTAGTTCTTGACAAAGTTCTTGGCACTTTAAGATCGAACTCTTATCCACCAATTGAAGTAATGTTTTGTCATTTCATTTCCAAAAATTATGTTTGACTGATCCTATTTCTTATTCAAGTCTGCTTTCTTATTCATCTGTGGACAGCTCTAAATGACAAATTGATGGATATGGCCATTACTGCGTGGTAGGAAATCATAATGAAAAAAAGAGAATTGAAACTTTCTATTTTTTTTTGCCACTTTTATTTGTAACTAACGTTTCGTCCTATAAGGACATTTTCAAACTTATATATTAAACTAGTTTATAGGATGAAACTGCAGTAACGTTAGTTACAAATAAAAGTGGTAAAAAAACAGAAAGTTTCAATTTTCTTTTCTTCAACTCTTAATGACTTTGCCACTATGCCACACTCTTTTTGGATACATCAAGATTGGTAAAGCATTTCTAATAATGGCCTGTGACAAATCAATTCTTTTCGCGAAATCTGATATGCTTCATCTCTTAAAACAATTTAAATTTTGTCTATAGCTGTAAATAACTTATGGTTACTTGAGTATTCATGCACAGTTTTGTAACTAGTGTGGAATTTAATTGTTTGTTTGTTTATGTTTCGAAAGCTTGAGGTATTGGTGAGTTCATCAACTCTAAGAAAATCGGCAGGTGTTGTTTTCAATTATTAAGAAAACTCTTTCAAATAAAAATTTCTATGTGTTAAATTGAAAGAAGACTACACCAGCAGTCAGCTGTTACGTCCTTGTGGGAATTGCAATCTTCTACAAATGACAAATTTCAAAAAACCCACAAACTGCTTATTATTTTACCTTTTTGATAAATAAATGAAGTATAACTCGAATCTCACCACATGCTTGTACATAAGTTGAAACTGCATAAGATGGATTTATTATAACTTCTTCTTTACTCTCTCAACTATGATGATGGGTCTAAAATTGACTCAGAGGAAGTAACTGAAATATTTGCTGAATATTTCTCAAATGCAGCTGAAAATTCCATATCAAATCACTTCGGGCAAAACTTATCTCTACCCTGTACTGTTACTGAAAATATTACCATTATTGAACCGTTCCAATCTTATCCGGTTACGGAATATGAGATATTGAATGTCCTATCAGAAATGAAAAACAAAAAAACGGCAGGCTTTGATGAACTATCAATTATAACAATTAAGAAAATATTACCATCTATTGTCGTTCCTTCAACATACTTAATGAATCAATCACTTATACAAGGATACTTTCCAGAAGTTCTGAAAAAATTACTCGTAATACCTGTATATAAAAAAAGAAACCCCACAGAAAGGGACAACTATAGGCAAATATCTTTGTTATGCTCGATATCTAAATTATTTGAAAAAGTTGTAGCACGTAGGGTTATGGATCATTTGGAATCAAATAGGCTGTTATGTATGTCTCAGCATGGTTTCAGGAAAAATAAATCTATAGAAACAGCTTCCTATCATCTTCTGAATTATATTTACACAGAGATTGTTAAAAAAAAAATTATGTGATCTCACTATTTTTCGATCTATCAAAAGCGTTTGATACAGTATGCGCGGAATTTCTCATAAAAAAACTGTCATTGTTCGGGTTTCCACAAAATATAATAAATTGGATACAATCCTATATGACAAACAGAGAAATGGTTGTGATCTGCAATGGAGTTACATCTGAGTCAAAGACGGTAAAACTCGGGGTGCCACAGGGCTCTGTTCTAGGACCTCTACTGTTTCTTCTCTATGTTAATGATCTTCCTCAACATATAAAGGGAGGCTACGTCACAATGTTTGCTGATGATACAACGATAACCATAGCAGGCAATAATGCTGAGCAACTCATCAGCAAATCTGAACATATTATTGATCAGTTCAGTACCTGGTGCCAAAGAAATAAGCTCATTCTAAATACTTCTAAATCGATCAGTGTTAACTTTCACTTCAGAAGAAATATTCCAATTGGTCGACACTCTAGTTATGACATTAAAACTTCTGAAGAAATGAAATTTTTAGGGACGTTCCTAGACGCCAATCTAAATTGGGAAAGGCAGGTGGACTATATATGTGCTAAGTTAAATGGAGCATATTATGCCATAAAACAGCTGAAATCCTGTTTGGATGAAACTGCCTTACTCAGCATATATTATGCCATGGCCTGCCCTCATATAAGTCTTAATATTATGGCTTGGGGCAGAGCAAGGGATTTTTCCAGAGTCTTCATAGCACAAAAACGCATCATAAGGCTAATCTTCAATATGGATTTCCGGGATAGCTGCCGGCCAGTCTTTATAGACAAAAAAATATTGACAGCCCCTTCCATCTTCATTTTTAAATGTATTTCATTTGTTAGGCAAAACAATAAATTATATGATAAGACTGCTTCAGATCACAGTCATAATACAAGAAACGGTGATCTAAAAATCCCTCAGCATCTCATGACAAGCTATAAAAAATCCCCTCAGTATAATGCCATTACGTGCTTCAATAAGCTGCCAAATGAAGTTAAAAAAATCACAAGTGACAAGGTATTCCATGATTATGTTAAAACTATGCTTTTAGAAAGAGGCTATTACAGTTACCAAGATTTTTTAATTGACAATCTCACAAACAATCAAATTCACAGTGGACGAAATTTTATTTAGATTAAATTATGTAAATGATGTAAAATGTTTAGTTAATTTGAGGGCATCTATGCTTACTTGTATATGTGTGTATATATGTATGTGTATATATGTGTATATGTGTATATTTAGAGTTGTTTCTGTGTTCAATCTCCAACTCTTTTTATCTTTACTAGCCTGTAGTACAACTGACTTACCATATACACCCAAGTGTATCAAAAATGGTGAATAAAAATATTATTATTATCATTATATTATTATTACAGAATTACCATGGCGATGTTAACCGGCAAGAGTCTCCGAGCAGTAATTCTGCTCTGCGCATTCTCGCAAAATTGGTGTCAAAATTCTACGGACCTTCCAATGCAGGGCAACTCAACCACAGAACTCATACCCACCCAATCTCCGAACATGACCAATACCAAAAACTACGATTACCTGATGAAGGTGTTGTTCAACATTCAGGAAAATAAGATAGCAGATTTCTTAGTAAACACCACGTTCACTAACATGCCAAAGAATGTTATCACTGTCAGTGATATCGTTCAACTTTATGGCTTAGGTAATATAAGCCTGTGTTCTACAAACGCCGCGCTAGTAACTTTAAATATAAACCCGGCCAACCTCCTCAGCATTAACGGCTTAGAAGTAATTCTGAAAGAATTCCAAATCACGTTCAAAAATTTCTATGAAGAGATTTTTTCCATCAAGTTGAATATTTCCGGGCTTCCACTGAGGAACTTTATTACAGCGCTTGGTATAAATAATGGGGAGTTCACAAGCGCCATGAGCTACAACGATCCAGATCCATTTGAAGAATTCAAAAAGGGAAACTTCTCTAAGGAATCCATCGATGCAGCTCTCAACGGAACGGGAAAAACTTTAGAGGATTTGTTTGCAGCCTGTAGGGATATGTTTCTTTCCAAGGTGGTTACGCTGGAAACTGATGAACTTTTAGGGGTTTTGAAAAAGTATGACTTTGCGCAAGAGAAAGCAGTTCAACTCTGGCACTACTTGAATATATCAACTGAAGATGTAAATGCAATTCCAGTATTTGAAAACCTTTTGGCACAGGCTATTTATGAACTGAACCAAAAAACTTATTTAGGAGTTCTGATGAAAGAAAGAAGCATTGCCATCAACAAAAAGGTGTTCGACCTCTGGAAAAATCGACCTATGTCAAAGATATATGCGCAATCAATTGATAAATCTATTACGTTAGAAATTGAACAAAAGCAGTTACCTTCAAGGTTCAACAACATAATCATTCTCGGAATAAATGGTATTTACAATGGAGCAATCGCTGATGTGGGAACAACCCCAAAACTAATCAGAAACTGTACATTCATCACCTTGCAAAATGGCACTGTGGTGTCAATGGACGTGCACGTGGCAAACTATGTTTTCCCAAATTTCGAAATCACTTCAAATTTAACAGAGGCAGAATTTGTCGTAGGAAGTCCGTTAATTTGTCAGAATGAGATATATGGCCTTGCTGCAGAGTTACTCGAATCGGACACTGTGGTTTTTGAATCTTTCATTATCAAGCCTCATATGACATCATCAGCTTTAAGTAAAGTGTTCAATAGATGTCTAGTACTTGTCAGTATTATAGGTTTACACTTGAGTTATTAATGAAAATGGTATTTCAAGATTAATAAAGGTGTGTAGAGTAGGATCAAAGTTACCCTACAAAAATATTTTAAACAGTTGATTAGCCAAAAAACTATTAGATTTGTCTTCCTTACACAAATTAAAATTATGTACCTTCATTCATTTGGTCAAAAATAAGCTCCAAGGACTCAAGGATTTGTAAATATCAATTACAAAATTATTCAAAACTCTCTTGAGTTTATCTCAATAAATATTCAGAATGCTCATCACTCACTGTTTATTGATGGAATAAATATAATAGTACCTAAAAAGTAGTTCAGAAAAACCCAACTGTGTTTTCAACTGAGTTCACGTTGCAGCAAGATGAGGCATCTTCTCATTATAATAGGCTGGAGGCTGGTTCAAGTGTATCCTTCAAAGGAAATTTGGGAAATAGTAGATAAATACATATTTTATTTTCCTTCGAATGTTATGATACAACAAAAATATATATGAAGACACCGTGGGAAACATCAGAACCACAAATGTTCATAATTTTAAATCAATATATGTAAAAAATGTTAAAACATTCTACATTAGAACATATACTTGAGACAAAATAAAATATAATTAGATAATTAAAATTCTGGCATAGCTTTTTTGAATCAACATTTTCATTAAATTATTGTTAAAAAGTGTTTTGTACATATCCTCTAACTCTTCCAACTCACATATTTTGTGATAGAATTTTATTCCCATATAATGTGGATTTTTTTGTCCTATTGACAAGTTTTAAGAAGGGTTGATTGATCCTGTCTTTATACTAAGTGGTATGGTAGTTCATATCCTTCCTTGCAATGAGATAATAATTTTTATTCAAAATATGTACAATTGTAAAAAAATATATAGACAAGGTAATGTCACTATGCTAAGATTGACAAAATGGTTCTGACATAAAGCTGTTTTTGATATATGTTAGTCATACAGCGTATATTTTTTTTGTGTGATGAAGAGTTGGCCAGAGTTATGTGCTTGACCCCAGAATATTAGACCAAATGAGAGATTTGATTGTACAAGTCCAAAATATAGTAGTTTTAGGATTTCCCCTGATACCGTGTTACGGAAATTTTTATTACAAAACTATACGATCTCAGTTTGGATAATATACCGTCTAGGTGATTATTCCACGTTTGTTTTCGATCTGAACAGATCCCCAAAAATTCTGTATTTGCCGAATTTTCTAATGATTCACCATTAATTACAGAATGAAATTAGAAGTACAAAAATTATGACAAGAATATATCAAAACATTTAATAAAAATTCTATACAACAGGTACAAAAAAATAAATGAATATTTAAATATAACAAAATAATATTTTTAATCGATTCACCACTTTCAGCTATGCACTTTGGACCTGCAAAGGGCTTCAAATAAATGGAAACAACTTTCATAAAAAAAAGGTTTTTTGAAATGGATTCACCAACGGCGGATATCCACTCTAGAACTGCAAAGTGCTTCTAATAACCAAATGATATATTTATAGTAAATTAATTTTTTAAGGATTCACCACCTCCAGTTATCCACTCTGGACTTGCGAAGTGCTTCTAGAGACTTTTCAGCTCGCATTTTAGTTTCGCTATGAATTCTGAGATTTCCTCCTTGTCTACCATTTACAATAGATTCGTGTTTCAATGCCCCCGAAACACCTGAAAATATAAAAAATAATAATTGCACAAAAATACTCACTCTCAATTATTCATAAAAATACATAACATTTAGAATGACATATCCAATTTTTTTTCTAGAATAAACCATTATATTATAATTCTTGGTTCTATATCACCATTGACAGAATTCATCAAAGTCTAATATCAAATAACCTATCAGCAAAAAACAGTGAGCAAGTCTCTCACCTGTTTTCTGAAACAGCTTGCCCAGAACATAATCATCTTGAGATTCGGAATCAGCAGTCAGCTTCTTCTCTTTCTTTCGCTTCTTAACCTCAGTTTTCACTAACCCCTCAACTTGCTCGCCGTCAATTGTTCCTGAAATATCAGTAACACATTTGTTTTTCCTCTTCTTCTTTTCTCTTTTAGGAGATTTCTCGCGGTCCTTTGTAAACTCATCTAAAAGTATGACGGGAGCTTTGGTGATTTGTTTATGGATTTCATCTACTGTCTTCTTCGCTTCAAGTGGATCCTTTTTGTGAGAAATAAGGTCATGATGTAGCTCAGCTGTTTTTTTCGAGTACTCCAAGGCCTCAGAAAAACTAACTTTAGCTTCAGAACCATCTATTTCATTAACAGCAGGTTTCTCTTCAATAGCTTTCTTCTTATTATACTGTAGCAATTCCTGAGGCGTCAACTTTTTTAACGCTTCTTTTTCCTGCAACTTTTTCAGCCTTTCTTCCTCCAGTTCGAGTTGAAATGATGAAGGTTGTTTTGACAGGCTCTTTGCAATTTGCTGTGCCAAGTTTTTCATCTGTTGAATTTTTTCCTCTGTAAAAAGATTCTCTGGTTCTTGAATTGTAGATTTTCCGCTCTTCTTCTTTTTGTTTTTCTTCTTAATGTTGTCTTGGATTCTTACCTAAAGTGTCAGATAATGCAAACAATAACGTTATGGATCTGCTTTTACATGTCAAACAGCGTCAAGAATTTGACCTACCCTAGAATCATGAAATATATTAGCGGTTTCCGGATTACCACCTTGCTGCTCTTGAAGGGAAAACAGATCATGTAAATCTGACGATTTGAAAAACTTATTAGTTTTTGGATCGATGAGTATTTTATTACTCAAAAGTTGCTTCCATACTTGTCTTTGATACATCTGAAAGAGGTCATGAAGAATTATTGAATCGAAAAAGTTCAGTTCTATGTCAAAACAATTCATCGAAAACATTTCAAACCTTTTCTTCAATAGTACCGGCAGAGAGCAACCGATAAATAGTTACTTCTTTATCTTGACCAATCCTCCAAGCTCTTTCCCTTGCTTGGGTGTCTGTCGCTGGATTCCAATCAGGATCAAAAATAATGACTCTGTTAGCACCAGTCAAATTCACTCCCAGTCCTCCAACCCTCGTCGTTGAGAGAAAAACATCATAGGAGGAATCCTAATATGTGTCAATAATCGAAATCAAAAATGTCAACAAAAAATAACAACTGAGTCAGTTAAGTAAGATATATTCTAAATTCAGTGACCCAGTTCTAAAGAAATTTGATCCACTTTTTCAAACAGGTCAATACTATGGAACCTCTCAGAAGATATTTAATGATGTATGTAATTCAATTTTGTTTTTTTTTATGGTCAAGACTCTTTTTAGAACTGGGCTACTAGATTAACAAAACCAATACTTCTTAGAATCCATTTATAATATTCTATTTCACTCACCTGATTGAACTTATCTATGAGAGGTTGTCTTTTACTTATAGATGTGGAGCCATCCATTTTCAAATATTTATATCCGTTCTGGTGCAAGAATTGTTCCAATATAAGTATCATTGATCTGCTCTGTGTGAAAAGGAGTACTCTGTGGCCTTGCTTCTTCCATATCTTCAATAAGGCAGAAACAACAACCATTTTGCCTGATTTTTTGTAATAACCAAATCTCTCATCTTCTGGTAAACCACTGTCTTCCTTTAAATACGAACAAAATAGTTCTCAATCAATCAATCAATCGAACATTTATTGAATCAGTTTTCCTTCACAATCACATTAGACAAAAAAAAACATAACATCATCATAAAATACTGGCTGATTCAACAGGTCAAACGAACATACATAAACATACATAAAAAAAGTTAATAAGCTACAATCAAATTAGGATTCAAGGAGAAACTCATCCGCTGAGTAGTATGCTTTTTGCAATAGAAAAATCTTGAGTCGCCTTACAAAGACATTGATATTTGAGGATTTAATGTCCTCACTAAGCTTATTATATAGCTTAACCCTAATGCACATGGGGTGATTCTTTGATACCGTCAATCTACTATAAGGTTGATGTAGTTGAGAGTTATTTCTGGTGAAATGTTAATGGATTTGCTCATTTCTAGGAATAATTGAAATATTGTTTTTTTTTTTAATTAACACGCTTTTATTAGCTTCACCTGTATGTATGTATGTTTGTTTGTAACTCCCAAGCTCTGGATGTGTATTTGACAGAATTTGCTTGATCTATTCGCGGGCAGATGGCGCTGTACGTAACCTCCTTGATATATCGACATTATTGATATAATTCGAACTCACTTTACATGTATTTCTTCATTCGAAAAAAGTATTTTTTTATTAACACGCGCGCCTGCTGCCTAATTTATAACCCTCCTTCACGCGCCTGTTGCCTTTCTTGGGCTTGGTAGCTGATTTTCAGGCTCCCTCTCCGGATTAGAAAATATCAATGGTCATTTTTTTTCTAAACAATATACGGCTGATTGATCCCAAAGTTTACATAAAATAAATATATTTTAAAAAGACCTGAAAACACGCTTTTATAGCATACAAAACTAAAAAACACGCTTTCAAAGAACATCGAACTAAAAAGTTAAAAACAATTTGTTTTTAAATAAGCTTAAAACAATAACGAACGAAAAATACTAGTATTATTGTGAAAAAATGCATGGGAGCTTTGTGCTATATTTTTTGTATATCAAGCGCCCGTATCTTTTTTCACAATAACACTAGTATTTTTCGTTCGTTATTGTTTTAGCTTATTTAAAAAAAAATATATATTTTCAACTTTTTAGTTTGATGTACTTTGGAAGCGTGTTTTTTAGTTTTGTTAAACTATATTTATTTTATATAACGTATATAACGTATATACGTATATACAAACTAGGCATTGTTAATAAACTATAATGAATGAATAATGGCCTGCAGTGTTCACTTGAAGATGCACCAGACAGAATTCTGATTACCTTTTTCTGAATAACGAAAACTTCATCAGCTTTAGCTGATACGCCCCACTGTTCAAGACCATAGGAAATTACTGACTGAATTGAACTGTGGCATAAAAGCTTGAGAACATCAATAGCGACTGTTTATTTTAACCCACAAAGTAAGTATATATATGTTTACTGAGCTTCAGTTTGACACATGGAAACATGGAACTTCCAGGTAAGTTTATTATCAATATCAACACCTAAGAATTTAGTACAATTAACTTGATATTAAGTTTCATTATTTAATCTAACCAAATAGTTTTTATCAATTGTTATATTTTTAGTAACAAAGTTGAGCATTTGAGATTTAGCAGAATTTAGCAGCAGGCCATTTATAGCGAGTGGTGTTCTAACACCACTCAAAAATTTGATCAGTTACTTCATAAGCTTTGACAATTACTTCGGACATAGTTCTGGCAGATACCAAGATGTTAGTATCGTCCGCAAAAATAACATATGTGAACATTTTGAAGTTATTAATTTTCATACTCACAATATCATTAGGTTCTTCCTCGTTCAAGAATATATCAGGATGATTGCATATTTTCCTCAGCTTTGTAATTGCCACCAAAACGTTGGATCTTATGTGGTTATCAGAAAACCAATTTTTGGTTCCTCTTCCCAAAATCATATTGACATGTTCGCTCTAAAACATTAATTATGAAATAACCCCCACAATTATTGAACTTCTACTGCACTCACCATTAAATAATTTTTATATAAATCAGTTTGTTCTTTAGACAAGGAACAAAAAAGAACCTGCTCACTTTTGTTTGGTAGAGATATGTGGTGTTGTACCTCAGTTTTACTTCTCCTTAGCATATAAGGAGTGATAATGTGCTTGAGAGTAGTAGCTACAGACAGAGCTGTGGCTTCCTAGAAATGAAAATGCAAATCATATTTTTATAACAAAGGAATAAATGTATTTCAGAAAAAAATTACAATCTGAATTTATTTATTACTTTAACAACAATCTGTCTCAGCATAAGGTATAATTTAAAAAGGACAGGCATGCCTCTATAATAGACCACATGAAGATATTTATATATAAGCGAAAATATTTATATGAGGGAAAATATTTTTCAAGTACCTTAATTTAAGAAAATGATAAAAATAAAGATTTGGTCCAATTATATCCACCACATGAAAGAAGACATCAATTTGTACTATATTTTATAATCAAGTTACTAGATGGCGATATTGTATGTCCTGAACTTGTTGAATTGAAACAGCTAGACTAGACTTTTGAGTCATCCAGTTTCACTCTACATATCCATATCCAGTTTCATATCCAGTTCACTCTACAAACTTTGGTTTGCATTCTCCCATAGAGAGAACTTTGAGGTTCATAAATAAGGAAGACATCGGCCCATTTAGATATTATTTTAATGGTTTTCAAAGAACCGTTTGAAATATAACATCATAATACTTGCATGAAATTTGATTATTATACAGTGCACATCATAAGTGTTAACCCCCCCTATCTAACTTTTTACTGGAGTCTTGTTAGGAAAATCGCCGAGACACGTTGATTTTTGTTTTCTACAGTGTACATTTTTGAATGAATATTTCACCCCTAATTTCATCCCTCACTGGAGGGGAGCAACCCTGTCGAAAAATTTAAATAGCATAAGGTGGTGAGTGATAGCTCATTTGAAAGGGGGTTTTATTCTCTATTCAACCATGCAAAGAACTACACCACAAACAGGAAGGCAACTAAACTAACACTAACTTTTGTTGTTTTTACAGTAAGTGTTCAAAATGTTCCCCGTTGACCTCCTGGCAAAAATAGAGTCTATTTTTAGTTTCAGTCCTGATGCTTTGCACACATTTTCGTAATCCGTGCACGCAACTCCTGCATAGAGTGACAGTGAGTCTCATAGACTTCAGATTTTAGATAACCCCATAGGAAGAAATCTAAAGGTGTAAGATCTGGTGATCTTGAAGGCCATTCCACAGATCCTCGGCGCCCGACCCATTGTCCTGCATAAACAGTATTCAAATAAGTTCTCATAGCAACTGCAACATTAAGAGGAGCTCAATTTTGTTGCAGAATAATGCCCATGTCAAATTCGTATAAATTATTTTCGACAGTTGCCACTATCAGAGGATCTATCACTGTTTCCAACATTTCCAAATAGAGGGCACCAGTCAGATTTTCAATGAATAACGGACCTATAATGTGTACTTGTGACGCACTATTTAGAACCTTTGGTGTACTAATGAATATTACTGAAGTTTCCCAACACCAAACCGTTATTTTAACACCTTGAAGATGATTACTTGGTGATCGAAACACGTAATAATATCGGTTTGGTGTTGGGTATGGAATTAATTCATGCTTTAAACAACTCGAAGAACTTTTATTAAAAATGTCAGTTTTTTTAATAGAATAATCAAATTTAACCACCTGACTTTTCTTATTATGACTACCTTATGCTATTTTGTTTTTTATAATGAAATATATTGACGGGAATAGAAACACATATACAGGGGAAGCCAGAATTGTCACCACACTGGGTATGAGTTTCGCGAAAAAGTCGAGGATTTTCATTGGATCAGTACCTCACATTTTGTCTGTGCACGTGACCATTTATAAAAAAAAAATAAGCTTCATCACTGAAACAAACGTGTTTCAGTGATGGGATTTTGCAAAATATTGTTAAAGACAATTTCAAAATATTCTAGACGGCGGTCTGGATCATCCTCCGTCAGTTCATGTCCCACTTTTATTTTGTAGGGATGAAATTGTTTTTTTTTAGAACTCTCAATACCGTCATCTGCGAAAGCTCACAATTCAAGGGAACAGTTCTAGTCGATGAAGACGAATTATTCAAACTCGCTCATAATGTCCATTTGTTTATCTTCCCCTGTAGTTAATCGCCCAGAACGTGTTTTATTTTGCACTCTCTCGTGATCAAAAATTTTTCTCACTAACTCTGTGAAAAAATGTTTATCAATAGGGCGATCTGGAAAACGTTCATTGAACATTCATACAGTCTCATAATTGTGATGAGCCTCACCAAAAATTACAATTGTAATGTATCGAAATATCATTCTGTTTATGAAAAATCGCTAGTAATCAATATGTCGTCGCGCAACCCGATCTGCCAGATTCCTGGGCACCTACGCGTACCGGAAAGGGCTGGAGGTCGATGTTGAGATATCACCATCGAACACTATTAGTTTGGTGATTACGATTTGATGATAAGGTTTAGTTAATTTTCAACAATATATCCTTTGCTAAATGATAACGTTGTATCATTTGTGGAAATCCAGAAACATTACAACAATCACTTAGCATTTCTCATTTAACGCACGTGGTGCAACCATTGTTTAAAGTTGAATAGCAAGCACAACTAACAGCTAGAATACACCGACTCGCACTCTCCGTGATATCAGTTTCTTGTATTGACCATTTATTCTCAAACATCCAAAAACACCTACAAAATCGTGCAGTTAATATCTACGCAAATGACAAATACGTCTCACTTGACGTCTGAACCAAAACCGATATCATACAGGGCCGAATTTTTAATTCTAAGGGTGATTGCGCTACGTTAATTGTTGTTGGAAAGAAGAAAGAGAGAGAGAGAGAGAAAGTACTTTATTGTTCATGAATAACATCATGGTTACAAAGTTAAAAAATTAAAAAAAAAATATATAAAATATACATAGCACTGATACCAGAGAAAATATGTCAACAACAATTAAACTTGTTAATAAAAGGTAACATGTCACACTTAATACTATATAAATCTACACAACTATACATAATAAAAGATGAGCAACACTATGCGACATATGGAAATTAAATAAGGATTATTCTAGTGTTTCACTAAAGTATTCATTCAGACTGTAATAGGCTCTGTCTAATGATAGATTTTTTACTGCTCTTTTGAATTTATAGAAGGATCCAATGGTTTTTATTGCAAGTGGTAAGTGATTATATGTTTTGCCACCTTTGTAGATAAAAGAGTCATATACAAGAGACGTGGTAGGCAGTGGGAGTTTGATGTCATTACTTTGCCGAGTTACGTAATGTGAAGAATTTGAACCAAATTTATTCAAATGTTTTTTTACAATAAGTACCGTTTCTAAAATATACAATGCTACTACAGTTAGAATTTTATGAGATTTAAATAGAGGTTTACAGTGGTCGTTAAATTTAGCTTTACACATGTACCTAATGGCACGTTTTTGTAAAATGAATATGCTATTGAACAGAAAATTACAGCAACTGCCCCAAAATGGAATGCCATATCTTAAGTGTGATTCAAATAATGAATAATATACAATTTTAGCAGTTGGAAAACTTAATTCTTTAGAGATTAGTCTAACTAAGAACTTGAAGGACAGCTTCGTAACTCACTAAAAAAAATTTAAAAACTGAAACTAAGAAAGACGATTTGCTTGAAATTAAAAACAAGAACAGTGAAATTTGTTCTCAATTCAGTGTCAAAAGTATTGAAATAGAGGATTCAAATTCTTTAAATTCAACTTGTATAGGCCCTTCAACGTCATCCATTCAGACAACCTCACCACAGCTTTCAGTAAACCTTTCTTTCTCGCAACCATCATCAGTAGAAAAAGCGGCACGTCAATCTAAAGCTGAAGAAAGTGACGAAAACAAAGATTACGATGCAAGTGACCCATATTTATGGCCAAAACATTCAACACAGTCACAGCGAACTAGAATAGTTGGAAAGGGTCCCACGTATGTAACAAATTAGAATTTCTAAAAAATTAAAATGGTCATCATTTTAGTATCATTCACTATACCAGACAGTTATCTAATGGAGAACAGCAAAAAAGGCTTTGGTTAGTGTACTTCTGAGTGAAATGATTCTGTGTATTATTTTACATGTCGATTATTTTCAAACATATCAGTCATTACAAAGAGTTCAAAGGTTACCAATGATTGGCAAAACATGAACGTGATTTTAAAAAACCACAATAGCAAAGCCCATAGAGAAAATATGATCTGAAAAAATCTTATAGGCCAACAAAACTATCAATTCTGAGACCTAAACTAAGCTCAGAAGTGGAAGGATGTTTTGGAAAGGCTCTTAGCAATCATACAATTTTTGCCTTAACACTCAACACAACTTGGCATTTCCCGGTCATAAAGAGATGGTTTCTCTAGACAAAACTGGTAACTTGCCAAATATCCCTTATTTCAAAAACAATACCTCAAGATACTGCGAAAGTTGAGGAATATTTCATTTGGTTTGTAGAAAGTGCAGAAAGTTTGACTCAATGTATGCTATCAGAACTAAACAAATTGGTTTGTCTCTGCAAAATTACAGATGACAGAGTTATGACAATTGAGCAAATATACGAGTTATATACACAGGAGTTCAATAAAGAATTTTGAACTGAACCCGTTGACGTTTTTGCCATGTGGGAGTCACAATTGGAACGTGGTTGTAGGCAATGCAGCTTCTCCTAGTGTTGAAGCTCAAACCTTTTTTGGAATATTGCAGAGATTCTTCACGATTTTTTTAAGCTCCAGCCTGAGATGACCTGTACTCAAAGAAAATGTAGACATTTCTCTGAAGCCTCTATCAGAAACATGATGGGAATGTATAGTGGAATCTGTCCGAGCTGTCAGATATCAATTGAGCAATGTTTGTAATGCTCTGTCAAGCTCATGAGAAACAAGCACAGACTGTTAACTATCAGTGAATGGCAATCCTTGGAAAATCAAATTTCAACTTTTGAATTTATAATTGAATTAATAGTCTGGTATGACATCCTAGTTGAATTTAACTACATGATCAAGATGTAGCAAAGTACAAAGATGAATTTAGATGTTGCAGTGGATTACTTGACAGTGTTTCTTGAATAGCTGAAAGATTACCAGGAGCAGAGCTTTGAATCTGCACTGGCGACAGCAACAAAGTTTGGAGAAGCATTTAGACTGGATGAAATAAAACATAAAGCTTCTAGGTTTAGATGGAAGAAACAGCTTTTCGATTATGAGTCAACAGATGAGTAAGAACAAATATCACAATATTTCAATAAAGTCATATCCCAAATAGTACAGAACCAAGATCTGAGACTTTGAAATGTCATGAAAACACTTTTGGGTTTTTGTTTCGATTAAATTCCCCTTTTATCACTGGTTGATCAAGGATTGCTTGCAAAGTGTGCAGGTTTTCAAATCGTTCTTTCTGTAGGAGGTCATTATGACATTGAGCCAATGGATCTTTTTGAAAAATTAAAATTATTCTCATCAGTTATGATTGAAGCAGAAGAAACAGAAAAGACTGGAATGACGGAATAGTAAAAGCCTCAAACGTGACCCATTCTTTGAGAAACATCACAGTGTTTTAAATATGCCGATTAGAATACTTTATTCTTACCTGCATAGGTGTAGAATTTGCAAATCCTCCATGCAAAATGGGATTTGCAAAATGTTCCTGAAAAGTTGACAAATTCCCAAGCATACCAGGATTTGTGTAGTCGAATAAGCTCCAAAGTTCTGTCAAATTATTTTGCATTGGACTCCCAGTCAGCATTATCCTATGGGGAGTTCTAATCTGTTTAACAGCCACAGTTACTTTTGCTGTTGGGTTCCTGATTTTATGGCCTTCATCCAGAATAACGTAGTGCCAATTATGATCGAGGAGGTTGTCTTTGTATTTGAGGATGCCAAGGTAGGTGGTGATTATTATGCCTTTCGTTTCATGCATGTCTTTAATAAGATCTGCTTTGTTACCTATTGAAACCATTGTATAAGGAGAGAAGATGAGAATATATTTTATTGTATTTATGATTATTAAAGCTTTTCCTAATCACCAGAACTTCAATAATCTTCTTGACACTTGTTTCACCAACCAAGTTGGCTTCTTCAGAAGATAAAAGAAGATAGAACTTTTCTTCATCTCCTGAAGACGCCAAGTTGGTTGGTTAAACGTGTGTTTGTTTCAAAAATAAGATTGAAATTGTTGAAGTTATAAAACAAAAAGTTGTGAAATATGTATCAAATTTTAGAAGTAATTTATGCCCATAACATAACTACAAAAATTTTAAATATGAGCAATATAGTAAAAATAATAAATTGAAAGGGTATCATTCAGACTAGGGCTTGAACCATCGACCAACACGGCAGTCAATTCGAGTGAGTGAACAAAGCATCCACGTCGAACCGCCTGGCTACCGACCGAAATAGCTGTTTCAAAAGGGCTTTTTTCCAGTTTGTGCCCGAAAGTTACTTTTTTGCATGATCTACACATCTTTGTAAAGAGTTAATTTTTGAAATTGATGACTTCCTTCCTTTCTTTGGAAGATTCCCACATTTTTTGTGGTAATCTTCCCAAACTGGCTACCGTAGCATTTCTGAGGTCAGGTTGATGTGGGTGTTTGACTCCTTGACACTTTTGCAAAAGGCTCCCGTATCCATTCTTTGCCATGAACTAGAGAAAACATTCAAAATATTCTAGTATAAAATTTCGATTTGATTCATGTGTTTGTTTTTGATATTCATTGTTATACATAATGAAATTATCATTAATTCTGGTAGGTATGTGGGAAAAGTATTCTATCTATCAATTTCACCTCTCAAATAATTACTAAAGCAAATTGAAGAATATAAAAATACAACCCTTTCAATTTAATCAAAAATATCATATCAATAATACCTTGAAAACTTCCTGACTGATGAAGGACAGCAACCCGAAACTCGGGAGCCCATTCATGAAAATGTTTGACCCACTGATGAATGACAGTTGCCGGACAAACCACCAAAGAAGGTCCCAATCCATTGAACCTAAAACATATTTAGAAATAAGTATATTTCGTCCAAATAGAATAAAAATCAACCACAGAAGTATCAATTGGAAGACCTCGAAAAATACTGACCTTCCGTGACAAGATAGTACTCTACTTATTTCCAATGCTTGTAAAAAAGCGATAATTTGTACAGTTTTTCCTAGTCCCATTTCATCTCCTAATAATGCCCCAGTGGATTTCTGATGAATTTTCCAAAGCCACTTTACAGAATCTTGTTGATAACTGAAAAAGGAATGATATCAAAAAAGATTTGGGCATATAACACCTGTTCCATTTTTTCAGACATTTCTTCATATTAAATTCTAGGCAGAACTCAGTGCTTACTTTTTTCGAAAATATGACTTTTATCAAGTACTCTAAGAGAATTAAAACATTAAATAACAGCAAATGAATTTTTCAATTACCCTGGATTCCTTTGTTGTAACTGAAGGACGCATTGAGAATTCATACCAAATCACCTCACTAGCTCTAATTTTGACCTCAATGTTAACCTACCCATATAGCCTATCCCAAATGTTGAGAGGGACCTTCAAGCCTCCTTTCAACAAATGAAAGTCACTCTTCTCTCTTGAATCATCATCTTCGTGGAGTCTCCTCAAATCAAGTTCCTCCTCGAGTTTCTTGTAATAGACATCAAGTCTTGCTTTGTAACACTGCCAAACACCATCATCTTCAACTTTGTTGATAATTTCAGTTTCTCTTTTTCTTTTGCGAGCTTGTGATTTAGGAATTTTCGAGGCTCTTGGTAGGGGCAATTCAAATTCCTGATCACTATCTGCAATTTGAGGAAAACAATTTTTCCAAAGTTTCAAGCATATTACCTGTGCTACATATATAGAAATATACCTACAGTTGACAAATAAATTAATATTAAAAATAATTTTTAAAATAAAGAAATACTCAACTTCACCAAACTGTTTGAAATTTGGAATTGTATATATTTGTGATGGCAAAATATGAGTGAGAATTTTATTTTTGAATCAATCACATACATTTAAATCTGATATATAATTTAGGACACAAAAATGTTACCTTTCTCATTTTCAGAAGGAAAATATTCACTTCCAGATATATCATCCCTACTGCTGTCAAAGTGTTCATCCACTATATTTTTGGTAATATCCTCTGCTGAAATATCATTCGCAGGGCTTTCTTGTACTTGGGACCTTTTGTTTGTTCTACTAGACTTCAAATTATGCTCTATAGATCCAAAATCTGTATTATCACTAATTTCTGCAACTATATTAAAATTTGTTTTTATGGATTCTGAAAGCTTTTTCCTTTTCCGTTTTTTTCTTGTGTCAAACTTAATATTAATTTGTTCACTACTATTATCTAAAGATTTTTTGAATTCCTGTCGCTTTTTCAATGCTTCCTGTTGCTGTATATATTTATCTATATTCAGAGTGATGTCTCCTATTTTGTTGGAAGAACTGTCTTCAAGTTCTTGAATTTCACCATCCTCTACTTCATTACAAATAGAAGTTTTATTATCTTCAGCAAATATTTCCAACTCTTTCAGAGCTTGTTCTTCTAAAACTTCCTGATTTGCTCCCCATACATTAATTTGTTCAGAAATCAGCAATTGGTTTAAGTCAATTTGCTGCAAAATAGGAAACTTGAAAAATTCATAGAATTGTAATTGAGTAAACATGTGCACATTTGAAACACACATTTTTAATACTAAGTTTGCATTAACAAAAATAATGTAGATTATGTATCAATTCATGGTTATAATTAAAATGATATAAGGATTACAATGATTCTGAAAGAAAGGTTTTGACTTTCCACACCTCCATCTTTATACAAAAAATGTGGGAATCTTTCAAAGGAAGGAAGAAATCAATTAATTACAAAATAAACTGTTCACAAAAATATGTAAATCATGCAAATAAGTCACTTTGAGACAAAGAAAAAGCCCTCTTGAAACAGCTACTTTCATTTAAACATGGAATTACAGGAAAGATAAAATACTTGCGAAAGAACTACTTTCATATGAACATTGAATTATACGAAAAACAATGTTTCCAATGATTTGCACTCCAAATATTCATTATGGAATTGAATCAAATATAATTCACACAATTGCTACACAGTATAGTAATCAAAAAGGTAAAAGTGTCACTTACATGGAACACTGTCATCCTCAATGGCAGACATAGATGTTTCCGAAAAAGACACTTGCCTAAATGACTCTTCAACACCAATCTGGATAACATTACAAGATGAAGCACTCAATTCATTCATAACATTACGACTTTATGTCACGAATGACTTAAATCTACTTAGGTCATTGATGGCAGTATGTAATGACATTCATTCACCTCTTTGATTCAATCCCACCAATCAAAATCTTGTTTAAATTGAAAGGAGTATTTTTTAGGATAGAATACTTTTTAGGAGAGAAAAGTTTTGGCTTCCTACTCCTTTATATGATGTATACATTTTTGTGAAGAGTTCATTTTAATATTTTCTGCTTACTTCCTTTCTTTGGAAAAGTCCCACATTTTTTCCTATAAAGATGGATAAGTAGAAAACCTTTCCTTCACAAAAAATAGTATCTTCTAAATATATACCCATTTCAATTCATCAGAATGATATTCAACCAGCATAACAAGTATTGTTATACTGGTTTCCGAGGTATTGCAGGATCCTCTCACAAAAGATAATCAACCTGGAAGAATTATCTTGACAGATTAGTTTTAACTGACCAATCTGAAAATGAACACTGGAATAAAAATTATTTTGAAATTTTGAATAAAAAAAGGTGAAAGTATTTAGCAACTATCTCGGTTAAAGGCTTTATCGTGTCTTAGGGTCTACTAATCGAATCATTTTTCAAGTAGTATGCAATTTACCTACCTGACTACCCATATTCAATTATTTCAAAACCAATTTTTAAATAATACCACCGTATATAAGTATAGAAGTGTTTACTTCTATATACGATGATAATACACTCAAAAACTCACATTTACAAGTTTGACGTTTAACTAACCTCAAAAAATTAAAAGGAAAGGTTTTTTTTCATCACTCTCAGTCTCATCTTTCATCCCCCGAAATTTTAGACATGTGAAGTTTGCTAATAGGTGGCGCCATAGTCAACACAAAACTGAGGAAAAATGCTACCTAGAAAACAATGAAGAACAAAGAGATGGCTCAGATATTCGCTTATACATACACTAAAATACGTAATACATAAGTAAAATCATCTCAATCCAAAATCAACTTATTAGAAAAAACGTGCGTTGAGAAAAATATTGCATTTCTGGTGATTCGGAAGCTTGTTTTTGGATTTATTCCACGGCTGGCGTTCCAGTTTTACTCTTTATTTAAAATCATTACATTGGAAGTTTGTACTACAAAAATATAAATATTGTTTGCTACTAAGTTCTCTGTAAGGTTGTGGAATTACGGTGCCACTGTCAATGTCCACAAAACACTCCCACTGTCAAAGTCTTAATGTTATAAAGTCACAAATTCACAGAGAAATTTTGGAACAAGTCGGTTTTGGGTACTTTCTGTTATTGTGTTACTATTTTCTATATGCGGTTTCTGTTGTAGTTTAATAATTTTAGGATTTCCATACTTACAAGTAACTACAGAATGACTACAACAATTTCGGTATCTCTGTCAGGTCCTGCGTTATCATTTCTACTTTATGAAAACGCAAAATGTCGGTTTCAACAGGTTAGTTACAAACTCATGTAAACCCTTTATTATCTTTTATTCCTGTAGGAGGGTTTTCTACTCGGAGAAATTGTCCATAAGGAAACAACAACTATAACAGATAATGATCAACGTCAACTGAACATAAGCAAAACTGTGAAAATCAATTCTATAATGCCTTGTCCTCATTCCCATTATTTTTATGATGGTGCGGGAAAAATAAATGGGGAGAAAATAATTGAATTTCTAGGAAGTCAGTTCAAAAGAGTTGTAGCTTGGTACAAGTATCGTGGTATTGTCAATACAAAATTCACTCTCCGTGATAAAATTATTCACAAGCAACTGATTGACTTTTTCGGTATTCCATCCGAAACATTTTCTTGTTGTCTACTATCCAATGATGTTACAAGCAATGCTGCTACCCACTCGTACACACAATTTTTTCTAAGATATAACAATGGAGGTTTTGATAAACTACCAATTCTCATACCCAACCTTAGTGATTCAAATACTGGTTATAAAAATTCAGAACCTGCATCTGAAACTTTCAATAAAATCCTGCGAGGTTTAAAAATTGATAAGAAAACTACGCAAGGTTTAATTGCCATAACTAAAATCCAAAATGCTCTACAAAAACATATAGATGTTGTCGTAGAAAATTTATCAGAGTCTGAAAGATATTTATTCGAATTGGAGAAAGAAGTCAAAGAACTTCTAATATTGAAAAAATTACATGAAAGGAATAACTCTGATTCAAAGAGAACAAACGATGAATCTAGTTTCATAAAATGTTTAGAATGTCCAGCAACAAATTACATTCCTTTAAATTCGATCGATACCACCCCTGAAACTTCCCCAGAACTTGAAAAGAAAAATGTCAGTAAAACTACTAGTATCTCAGGAAAAGGGAGAAAACGAGGTAGGGAGCTAATAGGAGATTCTAAAGAACCAAGAAATTCAAAGATGGACGAGAGAGAAACAGAAGAGGTGTAAATCCTAAGTAAGTAAAATATCGGTTCTTTTTTCTGTCTTGCTTCAATGTTTTAACTATATTCACTTATTTTTGTCCACTGATCATGATTCCAAAAAAGCACTTATCTATTCCATGCACCTTAACTGCAATACTCTTCTTGACGCACGTTTCACCAACCAAGTTGGTGTTGTGTTGAGAAGAGTATTGCAGTTCTGGTGTTTTAGAAAAGTGCTTGTTTTGGTTTTATTATATGCCAGAGGCTCCAGTTTTACCTTTTATCACTGATCACTGAATCAAATTACCTGTACATATTGGGAATAAACCAACCCGATCTCAATTACAAAACATCGTAAACATCGTGATATTTATTTTATAACATCTCTGAATTTTTAACCAAATTTTAATATGTTTCATAAATTAACTATGTCTTGTATATTTCTATTATTTATAACTTTATTTTTACCCAAGAGGAGAACTGGATGAATAAGTTTGATTTGATCTGAAATCAAAATTTGGTGCTCCCATCTACTTTTGGAGACAACTACCGTGTACCTTCATTTACTTGCCACTTCCGTTTTTTTCCATACATGCATGAGCCGGAAAACCTTTAGTACTTTGCAATTCAAGTTTTTTTCAGTTTTTCTTCAACAAAGGTGATAAAATTGTATATCTAAGAGAAATAGAGTTTCAAAATAGTTTTCAGAATATAACTTTTGGAGATTTCAAGAACAGTTATATGAGTCATTGACTATGTTTACGTAGACACCTCCAACGTTTGATCAGAACGGTAAAGAAAGACAAATATATTATCAGTACTCTTTAAGAGTTGATCAAAACTTTGGAGATGAATGTAATGTTCAGCCCTTTCAAGATGGAAGACAGAAAAATTCGCAAAAGTAGTGAGCCCTCAAATGAAAGACAAAGTAGCGTTATTGAAGGCACATGTAGGGATTGACAATTATCGCTTATTAGAATTATCCTCTACCAAGATAACACTACAAGTAATCATAATTACATAAAATCTAACTATAATAATCAGGTTATCTGAAGTAATCATCAATCTGATTTACGCAAGCAGTTATAACTATTGATTACAATTACGTAATCAATGTATAGTTTGTCAGAGGATCTGGGATATTATGTGTTATGTATTTTTTTGTTTACATTTTTATTTTTACTTATAGTTGCTTTTCATCACATTGTAAAGAAGCCACACACTAAATAAATAAATAATGTTAGGTCTAAGAATGTTTTTTTTTTATTAAGACTTAAAAGTTGATCAATATTCATCAGGATCTTTCACAAACTGATAAATGAGAATAAATAAACAGTTTTCAATTCAAATAAATATATGTTTATTTATTTATTTATTGTGTAGATTGAAGGTAGGTATAAAAAATCAACTTCGATTAAATTATTCAAAAAGCAAAAAAATCTGACGATTCGAATATTTCATCTGAAGGCTTGCAAGATTTAGGGTGTTTCAGATAAATAAGTAGATTATTAACCACTTAACACTTTATTATGTATTTCTTACAAGTCGGAGGTAACTTTTAGACAAAAAATCAAATAATACAACCTACAAATTATTATGCACCTATAACAGAACATCTAAAAATGAAGTAAATTATTGTGAACCATTTGAAACAGGACATGAATAGGTGCATTTGGAAGATATAATAGGTCAAATTCAAACCTGTGAGCCACGACGGATACAAGATATTTATCAAGGCTTTGGAGTTTGGATTGTAAAATTGATTCGATACTGGTATCAACGAAAACACAGAAGCAGTACAAGCAATTCGTGGAAAGAACAGATGTTAAAGCTTCGAGAGAAGTGAGTTACTTATTTGCTGTTCTACAGGCGCAGTAATACGATCCGTCTTGAATAACGCCACCCTAGGGAGATGTGGATGCTCAGCGCCTGGGATCTTATATAATTCCTTTGTCGAGTTTTCACCGAATTTAATTTTTTGTTGGTTTTAGTGGATTTTTCATTCCTTTATTTTGTTGTAATGTAACTTCATAACCAAATCTTATTTTCAAATATTCCTACCGTAGGTATAAGAAACTGTATATATACTCACGAGAAATGGGCATTACTTAGACGCTCGTCTTTGGCTTTCGACAAAAAACTTCATTCTTAAGAGTAATGGCCACATTTCTCGTTCATTGAATAATATACTATCAATACATCAGTATGTGCTTACTCCATACAAGTGCCCTCACAGCCTCCTAGTAGGAGGCTCAGTCTGACCTCAGTCTAAAATCCATAGACTCCAATTACTATTGGATACAATTATATATTCTAACACTTAGTAATTTTTGGGAATAATCAGCTTTAATGAAAAATTTCAATCAGAAGATGTCAAGATTTAATCTAATTAATGATTACATCCTCAAATAAAAAAACTCAATCTACTCATGAGATAAATCAATGAATTATAATTAATTTTTAAACTTTGTTTCAGATTACAATATTTTTTAAACCAATACTGCAAGAAGTGATAGTGATATAATATATTCGGCAGCATTGAGAGATATTATGAGATCCTTCAATTTAAACCATGCAATCGACCTGAAAACTGTGGTACTAAGGTACTAAGTTTATAAGAGTAATTATTTACTAGCCTAATAAGTGATTCAGTGATTTATACAAATAAGTAAATATTAGGTATCCTTATGCAAAATTACTACGAAATTGTTTTATGACAACAGTTCTCTCATGCTCACTGTACATAAATTCTAGAGAATAGTATAAGTAAATTATATTCTAACCACAATGCGTTCACAATAATCAAGCTTCAATTATTTCGCCCTACATATTTGCTATAAGCTGATTCATACACGAAACTTTTATATTGTATGTACTTTCATTTTAAGAAAGTTGTGACAATGTAAATCAATGAGAGCAGTCATACACCACACTTCAAAGTAAACGTGTGGTGTATGAGCACTCCCATTGATTTACATAGTGATAAGTTTTTTAAGTAAAATATTGAGTGTTTGTAAGAATTTTATGTCTTACTTCCAGATTAAATATGTTCGAAATTTCATGCTCTTATTTCAAATTACTACTGATGCTTAGAAAAATGTGAAGTTAATTTATTTGCAGTTTAATTATAATGTCACCATCTTCAGCTCAACTCATACAAATTAGTAGTTTAGTAAGTGTACAGCATAAGAGTTATATATTTAGGTAATGAAGACTGATCAAAATTATGAAGTTTTCGCCATTACTTTTTTCATTAAAAAAAATATGAGTGGCTTTGAGGCCGAAGGTAGTATTTGTGAATTCAGTATCACTTCTGAAAGTCATGTGTTGAAATATAAAATACAGATTATATTGTAATATATTTTTTATTATCATTTTCAATATACCTTAAAGAATTTTCATATTTTTGTCTATTCTTTGAAACAACAAATCCTGCCTTCTTTTATATGAAACTTAGTTAACTTCTTATTTTGTAAATTGCTGTTTTTGTTTTAATAATTATATGAGTTACCAAAGAAAACAATTGCTTTAAAGACCCTTTCCCTTGAAAAGTTCATCAATTATTAATAAACTGTGTTATTAAACTTGTTGATGAATGTGAAAGGAAATGTTTTGGTAGGTAGTCTGAAAATCGTCACTAATGCATCTTTTGAAAATACTTTTCCCACACCACAATAAAAATAATCTCACGACGCGCATGTTGCGAACCAAGTTAACAACACCACCGGATGACTAATACTCTCCTGATGATACTAAGTTGCTTAACAAAACTCGTGTCGAGAGAAGGTATTTTTGTTGTGATAACTTTTGGAACATATCAATTCCTTCATATGTTTTTAGTGATCTGTTACTGTACTCATTTTATTCAGTTGGGAAAAAAACGAAAAGTGAGTTTAGATAACGCTCTGTAAGCAGTAACCAGTGTAACAAGTTTCAATGTCGGTTGCTCTCTAGAGGGTATAAGCATGACAAGTATTTCAAAACCCGTTCAAGATTCTAGGGTTATTAGCTGAGGAGGCCTAATGTTGAAAATTCCTTTCAAAAACCGTTTAATTATACTTTCGTTTTCAGGTAAAAATATCAGATTTAGGGCTGATCTATAAAAATTCATTACTGAATTTATTTACCAATGAATAGGTATGTAAAAGGTTTAATGTGTGTCTCCCTTCATAAAACTTCCAATATTTCTTAAAACAAAAAGTGTACTAATTAAGAGTGCACTGAGTAATCAACAAAATAATTATCTCTACTGCAGATGGCGAGATGCCTGGGTTTATAAATGCATGCCAGACAATTTTCCTTACCATCAGAAAAATATTTTTGTGAAGCTGATGTTTTTTCCTGAGAGAAGATAGCAATACTGAATTAGTAGGTTTCAATATCAGAGGTTTCTCAATCAACATATTGATGTACAATGGGTACCACGGTTTGAAGACAAAAAAAGGGGGGGCGACAACATTCATGTAGGCCATTCTTCTATATTCTCTAATATTGTTGTAATGACAAAAAAGGGTGGAAAAGCATAAAAATACTAGTTGTATCCATAGCAACTGAACGTGGATCCGGAAAACTCAATATATATCTTTCACATTTGTTGTCCAATTTTGTAGCAAACAAATCAATATTTGGTTTTCCAAAATATTTTTAGATTTTTTTGAATGTTTTATCACTGAGTTTATATTCAGACTCGATAGCTAAAGAACATGACTCGCTGTCTGCTCCATTATTTTTATCTGATGGTATGTACGATGCAAACACCAATATTTTTCTGGTTTCATACCAAATCCATAAACGTTCTGTAATTGAATTTAATCGTGCAAATTTCTCGCGGCCCTTGTAATTGATAAAATATATTACTATGACGTTATCGATTCTCAAAAGGATTCGAATATTGGTTCGGTTTTTAACAAATGACTGTAAACCATATAGAGCAGCTTTTATTTCCAAATATATAATGTTTATTCCGATCTTGTTCATTCCACCGTCAGTTAGGGAAGATATGTGTGAACTGGCATCACTGTCGACGGCATCGATGGAGGCAAATGATGGCTGCGGGCAGAATTACACATTTCTTTCGTTGCATTGTTTTTTTGGTAGTTAAGGAATCATAAAAATAGATAAGGTATGGGTGGAGAGATTTGGAAGGGAGAATGTTAGTTGCTTTTTAGATAGGAGTACAGTACGTTGTTCAGTAACTTTCTTGATTATTATTGAAATAAAAGGGTGTTTAAGTGGAGATTAAATTTATCTTATTTTCTCAAGTTCACATCAGAAGTGGGATTATACAACGGCAAATAACTTGTGAAATTTCATCAAATATGGGCAGTCGAAAGAGGAAGCGTTCTAGGTCTCGTTCCCCAAGGATACCGAAAGGAAGTCGAACAAGAGGAGATAGGAAAAGAACCACAAGTCGGAAAGGTGGCAGCTCCCATGAGCAGATGAGTGATGGTGACCGTGTTCAGACTCCCGAGCTCTTTACTTCGGAGGGTTGCAGCAATACAGGTTTGATAGAAATAGTTAATAACTTGAGGAAAGAAAATCATGGTAGATTGGGAATGTCAGTTAAAGATGTTCATGAGTTCAACCCTTTAAATGACAATGTGTTAGTTTGGATATCAAAAATAGATCAGTATGCAGATATATATCATTGGAATGATTTGCATATATGTCATCTTGCCATTAATAAATTGAAAGGGCCTGCAGAAACTTGGTATAGAAGTGTATGCCAAAAAGTTGGGGGAATGGAAAATCCTTTTATCAAAAACTTTTCCGTCAAATCGAGATTTACACTGTCTAATGACAGAAATGCACGCTTTGCATCCAAAGCCAAATCAGAGTTTATTTGAATATTGTTTTGAAAAACTGTCTTTCATAAAGAAAATGGATTTAAAACTGTGTGGTGCCAACGAAGTCAATTTAATTGTGGGTGGTTTGAACAATACGTCCATGAAATTCGCTGTTACGGCCGCCAATATCGATGATCCATCGAAGTTGGCAACTTATTTGAAGTCGTTCGATCCGAACTTGTCAGGTTCATCTCCAGATAAATATGCACGAAAATGGAACGACAGTTCCCGTAAAGACGGTAAGAGATTAAAGAATGTCCATACAACTCGAGAAAATATTATTTGTTTTCGATGTAACGGGGTGGGCCACAAGCAAATGAATTGTCAAATAGATCGTTCACAGGGTGATGCTATAAAATACTGCAATTATTGTCGTCGTAGGGGGCACACAGTGGATAGTTGTTTTAAAAAGTCGAAAACAACCGACATACAATTAGATAAAAAGAAAGAAACAGTCACAAGGGATGATAAGCGGGTATTTCTGGTAACTAAAAATCGGGATAAAAACAAATTCTTCAAAAGTATTCTCATTGGGGATCAGAAGGAAACATGTTTTGTAGATTTTGGTAGCGAGTGTTCCCTCGTTACACACGCAATGGCAGACAAACTTCAGTTGAAGGTTGAAAGTTGTCCCAACGAAATTATATTAACGGCATTTGGAGGTTCTGAAATACTAGTAACAGAGTGGGCCGCATGTAATGTCGAAATAGATGATGTCGCATTATCAATAGAAATATTGCTAGTGGACACTTGTATACCGGGTGCGGAAATAGTGATTGGACAAAATTTTAGTGAGGATCCTGGAATTACTTATTCGCGGATTGGCTCTCGATTAACTTTCAGTTACGCTCTGACCGTGAATTCAATTGAAGTTCAGCCTCAGGTCGTCCACATTGATGTGGCAGAGGCGTCAGCTCAAAATGAAATACAAGAACTTATAAAAGAATTTCCAAATTGTTTTACAAGCAATATAGGAAAATTAGGCACGATAACTGGTATCGAAATGTCCATCAAACTGAAGACAGACACTCCTATTATTTATCGGCCATATAGGTTATCTGATTCTGAAAAATGTAAACTTCGAGAGTTGATCAACGAATTAATACAGAGTAATACTATCAGGCCTTCCCAGTCTCCGTTTGCAAGTCCTGTGATAATGGTTAAGAAAAAAAATGGTGATACTCGTTTGTGTGTCGATTACAGAGGGGTTAATAAACAAACAATCAAAGAAAATTACCCTTTGCCTGTCATTGAGGATTTAATTGACAGGTTAATCGGTCAGAAATTCTTTACTATATTGGACTTGAAATCAGGATACCAACAAATAAGACTTTCGAAAGAGTCTGTTCCAATCACTGCTTTCATCACCCCGGAGGGCAAATACGAATACCTCAAAGTCCCATTTGGCCTAATGAATGCTCCCTATTTTTTTCAACGCGCTGTGGATAATATTCTTGGTGATTTGAGATTCAATAAAGTTGTTGTGTATTTGGACGATATACTTATTCCCTCTAGAACAATACCCGAAGGATTAAATATCCTGCGTCGAGTAATTGAGCGCTTAAACGATCATGGTGTTCAGTTGAACATTGAAAAGTGTACCTTTTTAGCTGATAAGGTTGAATATCTTGGATACAGAATACAGGATGGAGAAGTAAAGACCAGCGCTTGCAAAACTGCTGCGATACGAAGTTTTCCTCGCCCAGGTAATATACATCAGGTCAGGCAATTTTTAGGACTAGTTGGTCACTTTCGTAAGTTTGTACCTAAATTCGCGCTCCAGCCCTTCACTAAGCTACTTAGTAAAAATCATCCTTGGACTTGGGAAACCGAACAGGAGAATGCCTTTGCGTTCTTCAAAGAAATATTGACGTCCTCCCCAGTACTCTTTTTGACAATGAAAAGAAACCATACTGTATACAGATGCCAGTCGCTGGGGTGTTGCAGGAATGTTGGTGCAGCTGAACGATGGAATGGAAAAGGCGATTGGATTCTTCAGCAAAGCAACCACGCCCACCGAACAGAGATATCATTCGTATGAACTGGAAGCACTAGCCATCGTTTGTTCCATAAAAAAATTCAGACATTACTTAGCTGGTATTAAATTCAAAATCTTCACAGATTGCTCAGCTGTTCGTAACGCCATGTCAAAAAAGGATCTAAACCCGAGGATTGCCAGATGGGTTCTGGAATTGCAGGACTATGATTTCGAGATAGTGCACAAACCAGGTACAAGGATGACCCATGTGGACGCACTGAGTCGTAACCCAGTGGGGGAGAGAGAAAGTCAAGGCATATATGCTGCGATCTTGTCCGATGACAACTGGCTTATGCTTACTCAAGAATCCGATGCGGACATAAAAGCTATCAAGAATATTATCTTATCGGGTGATCGAAACAGCAACAAAGACATTTTTGAAAAATATGATGTTCGGAGGGGAAGAGTATACCGTCGTACTGATCGAGGAAACAGGGTGGTATTGCCGAAAGCTTGCATATGGCAGATTTTGAGGTTTAATCACGATGACGTAGGCCATTTTGCTTTCGACAAAACCTTAGAGAGAATATCAAATAAATATTGGTTCCCAAAAATGAGAAAAATTATAAAAAATACGTGAAGGCTTGTATAAATTGTTTATATCACAAAACGGCGTCGGGGAAAAAGCCAGGATAC